GTAGGAGTCATGTAGGACAACTGTAGGAGTCATGTAGGACAACTGTAGGAGTCATGTAGGACAACTGTAGGACACTGTAGGAGTCATGTAGGACAACTGTAGGAGTCATGTAGGACAACTGTAGACTGTAGGAGTCATGTAGGACACTGTAGGAGTCATGTAGGACAACTGTAGGAGTCATGTAGGACAACTGTAGGAGTCATGTAGGACAACTGTAGGAGTCATGTAGGACAACTGTAGGAGTCATGTAGGACAACTGTAGGACAACTGTAGGAGTCATGTAGGACAACTGTAGGAGTCATGTAGGACAACTGTAGGAGTCATGTAGGACAACTGTAGACTGTAGGAGTCATGTAGGACAACTGTAGACTGTAGGAGTCATGTAGGACAACTGTAGGAGTCATGTAGGACAACTGTAGACTGTAGGAGTCATGTAGGACAACTGTAGACTGTAGGAGTCATGTAGGACAACTGTAGGAGTCATGTAGGACAACTGTAGGACACTGTAGGACAACTGTAGGAGTCATGTAGGACAACTGTAGGGGCAGTAGCGTACGCAAGTGGGGAGCAGGGGGAGCGGCCGCTCCCCCTCTGGCTATTTTTAGATAAGTGGTGCCTTTTTGGAAACTTTTTAAACTCAACGTTTTAAACAATATTTGTTAAAAAAATATTTTTGGTCGGCACATCTATGTAAATCACAAGATTTCTTTTCATGCAGCAATTAAGCATTATTGTACTAGTCTAGTAGTGTCTACGTTTACAACACGTATTAACAGCTGCATCAGTTTGCCATTCTAAAAATAACCATTACGATGCATTCCACTGTTTAAAAAACCTCTACGGGTAGTATCACTTGGCAAGAGGGGTGTTAAGTTTAAGGCAACTGTATAATGTATTTGCTTACGAATAATTGAATAAGAAAATCTTATACATAAAACTTCACACATAATTACTTTTATATACAGTTTGAATCGTGTGTGTGATTAATTTAAAAAAAAAATTACAATACAGAAACACAACTGATGTGGCACCTCTATTTACATTTACTTATGAGCAAACTGCGTAGTGGTGGGGAAATTTTGACAAGGTCATCACGATGAAGTAGTGGTATCCTTACAGTTTGGGCGATAGTGATTACGATTACAAATTATATGAAACATTTACAAACCTCCATCCCCCATTGACCCCTCTGTAAAAAAATATTGTCATAATACCACTGCTACTTATTTAAATCTATTTCTGTAATATATATTTGCGTAATATATATTTGTGTAATATATATGTATGTTTAGAACAGTCATCTAAAAACTGACGCTATGTTCACTCTGAGTTGGTTATCTCCCCCCTCCCCCACCACACACCTCACCACCACAATTGTGTAGAGCGACATTAATGTCACACCTAGGTATACACTGGGTTGGATAATTGACCTAAAGTGACCGGACAGTGGTGAATGAAGTTGAACCCACCCCCGACTCCCCCCCCCCCCCCCCCCCCCAACCCACCCCGAACTGATCTGTTAAGTACATGTAGTAAAACGCGTAATGATGTACCAAAGTACCATGCCGCCAGAAAATTAGCTTTTTAAACGTAAAACTGTGAATATTGTTTTTGCAATTACCAGTAAAAAGGTGTTTGATCAATACAATGATCTAACCCATACCTATCACTATGTTAAAAAATGATCTTTAAAGAACACAAAGAAACAGTAGTTAATTAAAAATATATGATCTGAATTATAAGACCAATATTTAGTTAAATGTAGGCTGTTATTCTAAATGTTAATCTATAAAGCGAAAAGCGTGGTTTTATACCAGCTCTGATTTTAAAAACTTTCATTATGCTGTACTACTTTAGCATTTATGATGACGATATATTGAATTATGATTATAGACAATAACATTTTGGAAACACGAATAGTGTTAAACGATTTCATTATAATCTAAAGTAATTATTTATTTGTTTTGACATTTATAATTAAATGTGTAGATATATACATATTTATATTAAGAGAGTGATTATTTCCCCTATTTCACTTGTCTTAAATAATTTTCCAGGAATTATTATGTTAGAAATTTTTTTTACAAGAATTACAAAACAGATTGTGTTACGTTCATTGTTTTTGGTTGTAGTGTGTGTATATTTTTGTTTTGCTTAGATTGATACAATTTTTGTTTTGTCGGCCTACATTGTGTGTTTTTTCTTATTTCTTCAGAGTGCTACTTTCAATTTATTTTACATCATAGCGAAGTAATGACATACAGCTAGTAATTATATATATATATATATATATATATATATATATATATATATATATATATATAATACACGTATATAGAACGTGTTAAAAATTCTGCGCCTTTTTTTGCTCTTTTCGCTCCCCCTACAACGAAAACCTGGATACGCCTCTGTGTAGGGGTCATGTAGGACAACTGTAGGGGTCATGTAGGACAACAGTAGGGGTCATGTAGGACACTGCGATTATGCTTGGATATGTGTGTAAAATGTGTATAACGGAGATTGGCAGATTTATGTAGATATGTATGTAGGTGTGGAGATATGAGTGGATGTATGTATGGATGGCGTCCACTAGATTTGACCTTCCTCATAGTTATCTCGCCATGCAGATAGTAAGTTCATTCTAGGAAGTTTAAGTTTCCAAGAAAAATACTTGTCATTACAACATTAGTATCGTGCCACATATCGACTTGTTAGTATCGATAATCTGGGGGGGGGGGGTGTTTCGTTGTTTTTGTTTCGTGTTGTATCAATTAAGATTGCAGTTTTTATTTTTCACGAGCTGACCCGCGACGTAGCAGACGCCTCTATCTAGTTGTTTTATTTTCTACTTATCAGCTATTCATAATTTGTGAATTCAACACCAGTGTTTCTTCCAGACTTTTTTCTCCCGTGGTGCGGTAGACTTTCCTCGGGGGGGGGGGGGCGGACACTGTTAAAAGTATATATTTTCTATATAAATTATATAAATTTCGTTCGGGGGGGGGGGGGGGGGGGAGGGCGGTAAAAAAATTTCGGGGGGGCTTCCCCCCCCCCCCGAAGAGATGCCTGGAAGAAACTCTGTTCAACACTACCGCCCCCCCCCCCTCCCCCCGCCCAGTGAAAGCAGCCGTTTACCGACGACATTGAAAAGACCAAGCAGAAATTGTTACCTCCCCTTCGTTTCAAATCGTTCAGTACTAAATTATCTGCCCCTAATAGCCGTCACTAATTCAACCCGGCTCTGTCTGTTCTGATCGTATGCCCCTAACGCCTGCCGTGAACTCCTGCCCTGAAAGTCTTTCTCTGGCTAGACCTGGTAATGTACTTACACATCAAACATGACCTATACAAGGCCGTCCATTTTGATCGCACGCTGGTCTCCGTGCCGTTACATTCCTGGAACCGTTGACTCAAGGCCGTCCATTTTGATCGCACGCTGGTCGCCGTGCCGTTACATTCCTGGAACCGTTGACTCAAGGCCGTCCATTTTGATCGCACGCTGGTCGCCGTGCCGTTACATTCCTGGAACCGTTGACTCAAGGCCGTCCATTTTGATCGCACGCTGGTCGCCGTGCCGTTACATTCCTGGAACCGTTGACTCAAGGCCGTCCATTTTGATCGCACGCTGGTCGCCGTGCCGTTAGATTCCTGGAACCGTTGACCCGTTTAACAAGAGTGACACGCCCATACACACAGCTACAGACGAAAGAGTTGGGTAGAGTTGTCCGCACTTGCTCTGTCGACACCAGGAAGTGACGTGTTCACGCTGTATGTCAAGGCCGCGAACTTTCTATTTTTAGAAAGGGTCGGCACCCGGTGCGGTCGCCCCACCCGCCGTCCTCCAGCTACGCCTCTGGACTATTGTGTGACAAAATATGTTGGCAATTATTTGGTCTGCAAGCCAGAAGTTGACAAGCTTAAAATAGTTGGGCTTATTTTATATCTACACCATCTTAGTATGGTATATAAATATATAGGCTATGTAATGAAATCGCCAAGGGTAGCTACGCCCTGTCTTGATGACAAATCTGATATTCAGGTGAACATTATCGGGTGTAAACCCCATTACGGTGTATTATCGTATGTAAACCCCATTAGGTCACGGACGGCGATAATATAACGCTAAGCACCTCGCTAAGATTCCGCGCAGCTGGTCTGGAAGTAGATTCGATGTAAGAAACTCCGGTAAGGTAGCCCACCCCCATCTCCGGTCTCCACACTGTCCTAACCCTACCCTCTTTACCTCACCAGTCCTGTGTCTCCACACTGTCCTAACCCTACCCTCTTTACCTCACCAGTCCTGTGTCTCCACACTGTCCTAACCCTACCCTCTTTACCTCCCCAGTCCTGTGTCTCCACACTGTCCTAACCCTACCCTCTCTACCTCACCAGTCCTGTGTCTCCACACTGTCCTAACCCTACCCACTTTACCTCCCCAGTCCTGTGTCTCCACACTGTCCTAACCCTACCCTCTTTACCTCACCAGTCCTGTGTCTCCACACTGTCCTAACCCTACCATCTTTACCTCCCCAGCCCTGTGTCTTCACACTGTCCTAACCCTACCCTCTCTACCTCCCCAGCCCTGTCTCCACACTGTCCTAACCCTACCCTCTTTACCTCACCAGTCCTGTGTCTCCACACTGTCCTAACCCTACCCTCTCTACCTCCCCATCTCCGGTCTCCACACTGTCCTAACCCTACCCTCTTTACCTCACCAGTCCTGTGTCTCCACACTGCCCTAACCCTACCCTCTTTACCTCACCAGTCCTGTGTCTCCACACTGTCCTAACCCTACCCTCTTTACCTCCCCAGCCCTGTGTCTCCACACTGTCCTAACCCTACCCTCTTTACCTCACCAGTCCTGTGTCTCCACACTGCCCTAACCCTACCCTCTTTACCTCACCAGTCCTGTGTCTCCACACTGCCCTAACCCTACCCTCTTTACCTCACCAGTCCTGTGTCTCCACACTGTCCTAACCCTACCATCTTTACCTCCCCAGGCAAGGCGCTGTGTCTACTGAGGAGAAAAGACTTCATGGAGAGGGCGCCACAAGCGGGGGACGTTTTGTTCAACGCCTTTCAGCGCCACCTGCAGGACGAGAGTAAGTCACGCTTTTAGTTTTAGTTTAGTCCAGTGTTGTAAGGTTACACCTAGCCACCAGTGTTTCTTCCAGACTTTTTTCTCCGGGGGGGGCACTTAAAATTTTCGGGGGGGGGGGGGGGGGGGCGGTAAACTTTCTTGGGGGGGGGGGGAGGACACTGTTAAAAGTATATATTTTCTATATAAATTGTATAAATTTCATTTCGTTCGGGGGGGGCGGCAAAAAATTTTCGGGGGGGGGGGGGCCGAAGAGATGCCTGGAAGAAACTCTGCTAGCCACTGGATGTGGCACCCAGCTGTTATATGGATGTGGTATACAGCTGTTATATGGATGTGGTAAACAGCTATTATATGGATGTGGTATACAGCTGTTATATGGATGTGGCACCCAGCTGTTATATGGATGTGGCACCCAGCTGTTATATGGATGTGGCACCCAGCTGTTATATGGATGTGGCACCCAGCTGTTATATGGATGTGGCACACAGCTGTTATATGGATGTGGCACCCAGCTGTTATATGGATGTGGTATACAGCTGTTATATGGATGTGGTATACAGCTGTTATATGGATGTGGCACCCAGCTGTTATATGGATGTGGCACCCAGCTGTTATATGGATGTGGCACACAGCTGTTATATGGATGTGGCATACACCTGTTATATGGATGTGGCACCCAGCTGTTATGGATGTGGCACCCAGCTGTTATGGATGTGGCACCCAGCTGTTATATGGATGTGGCACACAGCTGTTATATGGATGTGGCACACAGCTGTTATATGGATGTGGCATACAGCTGTTATATGGATGTGGCACCCAACTGTTATATGGATGTGGCACACAGCTGTTATATGGATGTGGCACACAGCTGTTATATGGATGTGGCACACAGCTGTTATATGGATGTGGCACACAGCTGTTATATGGATGTGGCATACAGCTGTTATATGGATGTGGCACCCAACTGTTATATGGATGTGGCACACAGCTGTTATATGGATGTGGCATACACCTGTTATATGGATGTGGCACCCAGCTGTTATATGGATGTGGCACCCAGCTGTTATATGGATGTGGTATACAGCTGTTATATGGATGTGGTATACAGCTGTTATATGGATGTGGCACCCAGCTGTTATATGGATGTGGCACCCAGCTGTTATATGGATGTGGCACCCAGCTGTTATATGGATGTGGTATACAGCTGTTATATGGATGTGGTATACAGCTGTTATATGGATGTGGCACCCAGCTGTTATATGGATGTGGCACCCAGCTGTTATATGGATGTGGCACCCAGCTGTTATATGGATGTGGTATACAGCTGTTATATGGATGTGGCACCCAGCTGTTATATGGATGTGGCACCCAGCTGTTATATGGATGTGGCACCCAGCTGTTATATGGATGTGGCACCCAGCTGTTATATGGATGTGGCACACAGCTGTTATATGGATGTGGCACACAGCGGTTATATGGATGTGGCATACAGCTGTTATATGGATGTGGTATACAGCTGTTATATGGATGTGGCACCCAGCTGTTATATGGATGTGGCACACAGCTGTTATATGGATGTGGCACACAGCTGTTATATGGATGTGGCATACAGCTGTTATATGGATGTGGTATACAGCTGTTATATGGATGTGGCACCCAGCTGTTATATGGATGTGGTATACAGCTGTTATATGGATGTGGTATACAGCTGTTATATGGATGTGGCACCCAGCTGTTATATGGATGTGGTATACAGCTGTTATATGGATGTGGTATACAGCTGTTATATGGATGTGGCACCCAGCTGTTATATGGATGTGGCACACAGCTGTTATATGGATGTGGCACACAGCTGTTATATGGATGTGGCATACAGCTGTTATATGGATGTGGCACACAGCTGTTATATGGATGTGGCACACAGCTGTTATATGGATGTGGCATACAGCTGTTATATGGATGTGGCACCCAGCTGTTATATGGATGTGGCACCCAGCTGTTATATGGATGTGGCATACACCTGTTATATGGATGTGGCACCCAGCTGTTATATGGATGTGGCACCCAACTGTTATATGGATGTGGCACACAGCTGTTATATGGATGTGGCATACAGCTGTTATATGGATGTGGCACCCAGCTGTTATATGGATGTGGCATCCAGCTGTTATATGGATGTGGCATCCAGCTGTTATATGGATGTGGCATACAGCTGTTATATGGATGTGGCACCCAGCTGTTATATGGATGTGGCACCCAGCTGTTATATGGATGTGGCACCCAGCTGTTATATGGATGTGGCACCCAGCTGTTATATGGATGTGGCATCCAGCTGTCAGCCATCATCTTACATGTACTGTGGTTGCTGTGGCTGGCCAATGAATTCCTTCACCCGTGGCGTAGATCCGCCCCTGACACTTCTCTTTTTATTCGCACGATACGCTCCACTCACCCCCACTCCCCAACCCCACCCCATCCTTAGCTCACTATTACCCTATTACCACCACCTCCCTTCTTACCCCACCCCACCCCCGCCTCTTTACCCACCTAACAAAGCAGTTTTTATTTCACGTAAACACGTGAATATTCATTAATTAGATTCTAATTACGTCGGGCAAAACTCGCAGCTCCGCTTAAAGCCGTGCTAGTTGTGACGTCAGTTCCGTCTTGTGTCACCCGTTATTCGGTCATCCAAACACCTGACAGGGGGGGGGAGGTGTCCCGTATGTGACGTCACGCTGTACTGTGTCGCTCATCATTCGGTCATACAAACACCAGTAGTGTGTCCTCTCTACGGTCCTGTAGTGTGTCCTCTCTACGGTCCTGTAGTGTGTCCTCTCTATGGTCCTGTAGTGTGTCCTCTCTATGGTCCTGTAGTGTGTCCTCTCTATGGTCCTGTAGTGTGTCCTCTCTATGGTCTTGTGGTGTGTCCTCTCTACGGTCCTGTAGTGTGTCCTCTCTACGGTCCTGTAGTGTGTCCTCTCGTCTGATCAGGATCTTCCCTGAAGGCGTTAGCTGCGACACCTGTCTGCACGCACTGACCACGTTACGTCAGACTCTTTTATGCCAGATCAATCATAACCGTCTAAAAATGGACAGGGTGGGCTAATATGCAGGACGGCAGGGAAAGATTTCAACTTTTGAACTGATCTAATAATAAACAACTCCCCCATTGTTTGGCATACTCAATGTTCTAGGATTGTATTAATAATAAGGAAGTACTGGATTTAACCCCTGACCTCTCGCACCTTACCCGGAAGTATAGATTATCGAAGCTTGAGATTATCGCGTTACCTGTTGGTGTTTTTTTTTAAGATTTAGGAAATGTATCAATAGAAAAAGGCGATAATGACAAACGCCTGTTTATATATATATATATATATATATATATATATATATATATATATATATATATATATATATATATATATATATATATATATAAAATCTAAAACTGTTCAGTTACATCAGCCCACTAGACACAACCCACTGGCCATCCACTCCCCACTGGCCATACAAAACCCACTGGCCATCCACTCCCCACTGGCCATACACAACCCACTGGACGTACACAGCCCACTGCCGCAAACAAAAAGGGCACAACCATCTAATATATTCCTGTTAACATTCCTCCATTGGCTGTCATTTCGCCACATTAAAGCTGTACTTTCTTTACATAAAGCTGTACCAGGCTCTATTTATTTGCTTAGTATGAGCACGTTTAAGCCACGTCATGTTTTCAAGGTGGTGGAAAGGGGTAGGGAGAATCCGGATTTATTACGCGAAAATTTGCTAGTTCCGCGTGGCCAGATTTTTAACCACTATCAGGTGTTTAGATTTTACTTATGGTTGTACGCCTATTTGGCTGGCAGCCATTTTCTTGCATTAGATTTGAAGCGATAATGTTTGCTGTACATCTCGGCTATAGCACTTCAGGTCAGACGTTGTTTTTTTACTTTACCTTTGATGGCCAGTGGTAACCGCGTGACTTAGGTTCTTAAATGTTGGCCAAATGTGGTCTCGTTCAGTTTAGCTTCTTAAATGTTGGCCAAATGTGGCCTCGTACAGTTTAGCTTCTTAAATGTTGGCCAAATGTAGCTTCGTGTAGTTTAGCTTCTTAAATGTTGGCCAAATGTGGCCTCGTACAGTTTAGCTTCTTAAATGTTGGCCAAATGTGGCCTCGTGTAGTTTAGCTTCTTAAATGTTGGCCAAATGTAGCTTCGTGTAGTTTAGCTTCTTATATGTTGGCCAAATGTAGCTTCGTGTAGTTTAGCTTCTTAAATGTTGGCCAAATGTGGCCTCGTGCTTTAGCTCATAGTTTTGATGTCTTTTGAACATGATTACTAACAATAATGGAACACAGTAATAGTAAGTTATACTGATTGTTTTAGACAAAAATAACCATACTTAACTCATTGCTTAACCTTAATCCTCATTAGCTCATAGACTAAGCTATAAACCAGATAATCCTTATCCACTCAGCAGGTTCCGTCTGCAGTCAGCGCTTTCCAGTTCTCAGCTCTCCCGTGCTTATGACGTCACCTCCCCCAAATAGCTCAGGTAGGCATTGTTTCAAATAGCTCAGGTAGGCATGATTTCAAATGGCTCAGGTAGGCATGATTGCAAAGGCTCAGGTAGGCATTATTTCAAATAGCTCAGGTAGGCATTGTTTAAAATAGCTTAAGTAGGCATTGTTTCAAATGGCTCAGGTAGGCATTGTTTCAAATAGCTCAGGTAGGCATTGTTTCAAATAGCTCAGGTAGGCATTATTTCAAATGGCTCAGGTAGGCATTATTTCAAGTAGCTCTGGTAGGCATTGTTTCAAATAGCTCAGGTAGGCATTATTTCAAATAGCTCAGGTAGGCATTATTTACCCCTGCATCAAGCCTTGATAAGTTAACCTCCCTCCTGCTACTGACAAATCACGGATGTATGACCACGTATCAGTAATTAGCCTTACCAGTCAGGACAGAACCCAACCTAGGGTAGTACTTAACTAAAGCCTGACAGGACAGAACCCAACCTAGGGTAGTATTTAACTAAAGCCTGACAGGACAGAACCCAACCTAGGGTAGTACTTAACTAAAGCCTGACAGGACAGAACCCAACCTAGGGTAGTATTTAACTAAAGCCTGACAGGACAGAACCCAACCTAGGGTAGTACTTAACTAAAGCCTGACAGAACCCAACCTAGGGTAGTACTTAACTAAAGCCTGACAGGACAGAACCCAACCTAGGGTAGTACTTAACTAAAGCCTGACCTCTCCCTCACAGATGGCCTACACCAGACCTTCAGGCCACAGTTCATCACTATCCTACCTCAGCCACCTAGCCACATGACCGGCCATGAGGTAGTGGCCAGCAGAACAAGCCCGGTGGGCCCCACCAGTGCCAGCCCAGTGGGCCCCACCAGTGGCAACCCAGTGGGCCCCAACAGAAGCAACACCACTGTGCCAAGGGAGCAAACCCTACCTTTGGCCCAGACCATACCTGGTAAGCTTCCCTGAATTTTTAGGTTGACTTGTTCTTGTTGGATTTTTTTACGTGTTACTGATTTTTTAAAGTTGATTTTGATTTTTTATTATTGATATATTGTTAACCTGCTATTGAGTTTTTAAACGTATTTTTGAATTTGTTTCCATTTTGCCAAAAAAATTTTAGTTAATTTGATATTGATTTTTTTGTGCCCAATTGTTACTGAATTTTGTTTCGCCATTATTACTTGTTATTGACGTTTATGGTCAGATTGTTATTAATTTTGTTTTTCACTATCACCACCTATACTTGACACTTTCATTCTCTATACAGCTGGAATCTTAAGCCCTGAGCCTTCAGAAAAAGCTTCAGACAGCGACTCGGGACTAAATGGTGAGTTCTGGTTGTTAAAGAGGCCACAAAAAATAATTTTGTTGCTTAGTGGCTACACAATTGTAGGACTCAACTAAGGCGTAGTTTTGTTTTCATCTCATTTGTTTACCTCTAGTTTAACCCTATGTGTTTACCTCTAGTTTAACCTGATGTGTTTAGCTTTAGTTTAACCTGATGTGTTTACCCCTAGTATAACCTGATGTGTTTAACCCTAGTTTAACCCCATGTGTTTACCTCTAGTTTAACCTGATGTGTTTACCCCTAGTTTAACCTGATGTGTTTACCCCCCAGACAACAGACCATCACCTAACGTCAGTGAGAACGATGTTGACTGTGAAGTCTCAAGCTGTGGGGGCCCCAGGTTTGAGCCGGGGAGCCCAGGGGAAGATGGGGGTAAGTAGCCCCTCATCATGCCCTCATCTACACTCATATGTTGACTGAATGTCTTCTGTCTGCCATATGTTCACTGAATGTCTTACATCTGCCATATGTTCACTGAATGTCTTCTGTCTGCCATATGTTCACTGAATGTCTTACGTCTGCCATATGTTCACTGAATGTCTTCTGTCTGCCATATGTTGACTGAATGTCTTCTGTCTGCCATATGTTGACTGAATGTCTTCTGTCTGCCATATGTTCACTAAATGTCTTCTGTCAGCCATATGTTGACTGAATGTCTTACGTCTGCCATATGTTGACTGAATGTCTTCTGTCTGCCATATGTTGACTGAATGTCTTCTGTCTGCCATATGTTGACTGAATGTTTTCTGTCTGCCATATGTTGACTGAATGTCTTATGTCTGCCATATGTTGACTGAATGTATTCTGTCTGCCATATGTTCACTAAATGTCTTCTGTCAGCCATATGTTGACTGAATGTCTTACGTCTGCCATATGTTGACTGAATGTCTTCTGTCTGCCATATGTTCACTAAATGTCTTCTGTCAGCCATATGTTGACTGAATGTCTTACGTCTGCCATATGTTGACTGAATGTCTTCTGTCTGCCATATGTTCACTGAATGTCTTCTGTCTGCCATATGTTGACTGAATGTCTTACGTCTGCCATATGTTGACTGAATGTCTTCTGTCTGCCATATGTTGACTGAATGTCTTCTGTCTGCCATATGTTGACTGAATGTCTTCTGTCTGCCATATGTTGACTGAATGTCTTCTGTCTGCCATATGTTCACTGAATGTCTTCTGTCTGCCATATGTTGACTGAATGTCTTCTGTCTGCCATATGTTCACTGAATGTCTTCTGTCTGCCATATGTTGACTGAATGTCTTCTGTCTGCCATATGTTGACTGAATGTCTTCTGTCTGCCATATGTTCACTGAATGTCTTCTGTCTGCCATATGTTGACTGAATGTCTTCTGTCTGCCATATGTTGACTGAATGTCTTCTGTCTGCCATATGTTGACTGAATGTCTTCTGTCTGCCATATGTTGACTGAATGTCTTCTGTCTGCCATATGTTGACTGAATGTCTTCTGTCTGCCATATGTTGACTGAATGTCTTCTGTCTGCCATATGTTGACTGAATGTCTTCTGTCTGCCATATGTTGACTGAATGTCTTCTGTCTGCCATATGTTGACTGAATGTCTTCTGTCTGCCATATGTTGACTGAATGTCTTCTGTCTGCCATATGTTGACTGAATGTCTTCTGTCTGCCATTTGTTGACTGAATGTCTTCTGTCTGCCATATGTTGACTGAATGTCTTCTCTCTGCCATATGTTGACTGAATGTCTTACATCTGCCATATGTTGACTGAATGTATTCTGTCTGCCATATGTTGACTGAATGTCTTCTGTCTGCCATATGTTGACTGAATGTCTTCTGTCTGCCATATGTTGACTGAATGTCTTCTGTCTGCCATTTGTTGACTGAATGTCTTCTGTCTGCCATATGTTGACTGAATGTCTTCTGTCTGCCATATGTTGACTGAATGTCTTCTGTCTGCCATATGTTGACTGAATGTCTTCTGTCTGCCATTTGTTGACTGAATGTCTTCTGTCTGCCATATGTTGACTGAATGTCTTCTCTCTGCCATATGTTGACTGAATGTCTTACATCTGCCATATGTTGACTGAATGTCTTCTGTCTGCCATATGTTGACTGAATGTCTTCTGTCTGCCATATGTTGACTGAATGTCTTCTGTCTGCCATATGTTGACTGAATGTCTTCTGTCTGCCATATGTTGACTGAATGTCTTCTGTCTGCCATATGTTGACTGAATGTCTTCTGTCTGCCATATGTTGACTGAATGTCTTACATCTGCCAGTCTGCCGTCTGCTGTGGGAGTTCATCTACCAGCTGCTGCAGGACGTCAAGTACTCGCAGTACGTCTGCTGGGAGTCTGAGCCAGAGATGACCTTTAGGATCAACAACCCCACTAGCCTGGCAGAGTTCTGGGGGCACCAGAAGAACAGGAACAACATGACATACGAGAAGCTTTCCAGGGCCTTAAGGTGAGCGGCCCCCTTTCTGGGTTAGGGCCCTTGTCTGGTCTGTAGCTAGAAAATGGAGATCATAGATTTTTAATAACTACTAGACTACCCGTTATCTAGTTAGATAACTGTGGGTTTCAGGGGGTCATCCATAAATGACATCACGTCTGCCAGCACTTATCATCCCAAAATAACCAGACCCCACATTCAAAAAGACGTTTTTTATATTTTAAAAACTCTACTAAACTCTACTTCACCTGCCCAGTGCCCCGCCATGTCTCAGACATGTTTGTATTTTTTTTAAAAAAACCATTCTGGCCGAGCATGGCTCTGACCACACTATCCCTTCATATGCTGAGAATATAGAAACAGTTGAAGTCTACTTCACCTGCCCTGTGCCCCGCGAGGTCCTGATAGTCAACCATATCGTTCACATATAGGCCTTAAGAAAAAATAATTGAAAACGTAAAAAAAAAAACCTTTTAACTATTACTAAAGACATTGTTCTAAACTTTTATAATTAATTTGGTTAATCTACCAATGAATATATCAATAAATTAATTAACGGCTTTAAATTATATACCACCCAAAATCCTATTTTACAGCTCTACACATAATGCAGATTCTCCCCAATAACAAATTTAAAAAAAAAAAAAAAATGAGTTCTCAAACGTCACTATTCAGTCAAAGTTAAGCCATTGTTCTAAAACTTTAAAATTAATGTGGTTAATTTACCTATGAATAAATCAATAAATTAATTAACGTCTTTAAATAAATGTGTGATTAACAGTCTGTCTGAAATAAAAAATTATTCTCTACCTATATACTATTTTACAGCCCCCCATATAGAGCAGTTTCCTTACAGTACCAAATCAGACAAACAAATAAATATTCAAACATGTAAACAAACTTGAGTTTTAGTAGTATATAGATTTGCTATTAATGTTGTTTTTGTTTTAACCTAAACCAACTTTGCTATGTTTAAGGTATTACTACAAAATGGAAATAATCAAAAAAGTTCCTGGCAAACGCTTGACGTACCAGTAAGTTTTGGCTTCAAATTCTTTACATCCCATTACTATTGCCGTATACCTTGTTTATTTATATTTTACTAGCCGTCCCGGCCAGGCCCTGCTCTGGCTTCTGTGAAAAACCTTTCTGTTAAAGACCATTACCTGTGTGTTTAGTAATCATCATAAACCCGGCATTGCTCACCCAAACCACGACCAACCAAAACCAAAACAACAAAACGCAAACATAACGCTAACACAATTACAAATACAAACGAAAACAAAAACCTAGCAACAAACCCAACCACAAACACCAATACCAAAAAAAAAAAAACAACGAAAAAGCAAACGAAAACAAACCAAATCCAAACGCAAAACCAACCAAAAACACAAATACAAACCCAAAAAAAAAACACAAACAAAAACGAAAAAAAGAAAGAACAAAAACGAACCAAATCAAAACGCAACCACTAACGCAAACCCACCTAAACACAAAGAAAACACTAACGCGAACATAAACGCCCGGGGCAGAATCGCCTGTTTTAGCTTAATAAACGACTATAGTACCCCAACTTATTCATAGTTTTTGCACTCACTTAAACGAACGCGCCTGTTTCAATTTAATGAACAATTATAATACTCCAAGCTTATCCGTAAAATACCTACAACATTTGCACTAGATCAATCCCCGCTAATTATGTAATTATTTTTTTCCCAACACCAAAACAAAGTAATTAAAAAGTAAATGAAGAGCCCAGTGCTAAAAGTACTTAAGTCACATTTTTGTGAAAATCAAACCAAGCATTGATCGTTATTCCTCTAGTTTAACTTTATCTTATAAACAAATAGTGATACTGAAGAATTTATTTAAGTTGCTCCTCCAAACAAACAAATAATATAAAAACGTAATGTTTCATAGTAAATTTTAATCTTTGAACTCATTTTTCTCAAAATGTTGTTTTTGTGACTTAAGTACTTTTAGCACTAAGGTCTTCAAATGCTTTTCAACTAATGCAATGGTTTTATAAAGGGAAGTAATTGTGTTTTGCCTAATTTATCAAAGGGAAGTAAGCGCTATAGGACTAAATAAAGACGTAATTAGAATTTTTGTAAAAGATGATATTTTTTTAAAACTTGTGTTTAATGAACATGCCGACAATTATTACTATAATTTGAAAAATGAAAATGATTTCCCAACACTTTTAATAGTAATTTTTTAACTCATAAATTTAGACAAATGCGCACGATAATTTTCTAACACTTACATCCATCGATAACCAGCGACAAACAAACATGCGTTACAGAATTGAGCTTTATATATTAGATTTACTTGGGTTGACTGCTCAAAACAAATGTATTGACCCGCTGTGCTATGACAACACCTGTAGAGGCACTACACACTTATCACACTATTCACACACAAACAAAACAATGTCAAATCTTACATTTACTATCATTCATCTGTTTGTTGGAAAGCCATCAGTTGCTTCTATGCTATTGGACAGTTGATTTCAGTATTAAAAATGTTTCCCCATTTTTTCAAATATTCCAACTCAAATTTCTTTACATCACCCAGGTTTCTACAACATCCAACCAAAATTCGTAAAGGTCAGCGCGGCGCTCGCCCCCACTCGAGCAGGTCAATGCTGCAGTCTGAGACGGATGGAGATGGAGACTCCCCACCCCCGGCTGACCCCAGCCTGAAGAGTACTGGGCACAACTGTAACGAGCGGGTCAGTCCGCAGACCAAACTTGAACCAGATTACGCTGTCAGACTTCAGGAGACCTCAAAATGTCTGGTGGAGCCTGCGCATTCAGCAGACTGGCCAGACAGGTCTTACATCAAACTTTCCCAGTCCCCAGTTGACCCCAGCGCTCTCAGCTGCTACCAGCACCAGCTGACCAGTGGGGATTTAGATACAGGCACGGGTCCTGTGCCCAAGTACCAAAGCCATTCAGACAATCAGATGCACCATACAACACCCACACCCTACTTGTCCAGTGGATATGTTGCTGAACAGAGAAACTGCCATAGCTCTGACAGTAAGCCAACTGACCAAGACAGCTATGAGAACAAGCTGACCTCTCTGCAGCGATCTGCGTCGCTTTCTCCATCTCTCCCCTCCGCCATTTCTCAAAGTGAGTTTCAGACAGAGTTTAAGTTTAGACCCAAACATCGCAATCATCGCTTTACACCTTACACTGACCCGTCACTGACCTCACCCACTGACCACAGAACTGGGAGCCCACCTTACTACTCACACTTTGACCACCTGGTTCCACAAGCCCACCACAATTCTTTCAAGTGTCGCCAAAGTTTTCAGGATGAGCCAGAAGATTTGTCGGTCAGGACCAGCCATCCAACAGTTCCCTCTGGCCATACAACAGTTCCATCTGGCCATCTAACAGTTCCCTCTGGCCATCCAATAGCTTTCCCTAAGAACCTAAATTTCTCTTCTCAATGTGAGGATGCCAGGAACATCACCACACAGTCAGGTACCCATGTTGTACCATATTGCTTTGTGGCAGCAAAAAGTGTTGATAATTCTACAGCAAAAAGTATCAATAATTGTACAGCACAAAGTGTTGAAAATTGTAAACAATCAGTTGAGGAAAACTTTACCACCAGTTTGAATGACCAAAGCATAAGGACAACAGCGTAGGTATGGTCACCTAAGTACCCAAGTTGTTTCAACATGCACTGCCTTTCTGTTGAGTTCAAACAAAATACAGCATACAAACAATATTGGTCGAAATTTTGGCTGTCAAATGCTATTGCATTGTGGTAAAAGTTTTGGACCAAACTTTGTGGTCTAATTTTTGGCCCAAACATTTTGGCCCTGATATCTGAACAAAGAAGCTTCTTGTGCCTTGCTGGGTAAAACCTTAGTTTAGCGTCGGAAATTATCAGTAATGTTTGTTGAGTTTCGGTAACTAGAGTTACGGTAAACCATGGTTTATTTGACCATTAAAATATAAATAAATTGAAAGTCGATTGTAGTAAATGAATGTTTTATTTTTTTAAGTTTAATCAACAAAAGGAAAAAAGAATAACTATAATATTAGATTTAAATTAGTAGATCTAAAAATAAAAAAACATATTAATATAAATAATGAAGTCAAATGTAATAATTTAATGTTTTTGGCTTGCAGCGGATTTGCGACCATTAATTAATTAGATCTAGATCTAGCTAGCTGCAAGGCCAAGTAAAAAAAAATCTAGTTATAACTAGTTATATGAAATGAGTAATAAAGCAGTATTTAACATGCAATTAAAATAAATCTATCCAAATTTTAAACGTTCTGTATTAAAAATAAAAGATGACGCCAAATAAAGTATGGTTTACAGTACTTCCTGTGGATACCGGAACTGTGTGACAGACTTTGCCATTGTTATTGTTTTTTACTGCTATATGATTCCGGAATAATAACAGACGCTAAACTAAGGTTTTACCCCTTGCTGTACTCACTAAACCTTCTCATTAGTTATCCAGGCTACAACCAATGCCAGAAAGATATTCAGCCACAGTGTGGAAGGGCTCAGCGAAAAAAGGGTTCAATAAACCTTTATAAATATAGACTCATATCCTGTTGACTTGGTTAAAGTTAAAATATAAATTCTCTCAACCAGGAGAAGGCTTGTGGTAAAAAAATGTGATTTATTCTATTGTAATGTTACAAAAATCTGATATGTTTTAGCAGAATTTTCAGTACACCTAACCATGATTTAAGTATGGTAAGTGTGTGAGACTGTTCAATGTCTATAATTGCCTCTTGTAAATAAAGACAAGAAAATAGATAAACACCCAAATTTTCTGGTCCAAACAGCTGACAATACCAGACAGTGAGGGAATATTGTTTGAACTGCAGACATTGTCTATTTTAACCCCTGAACTAGTGCTCAATATAGTGTGATAACTTTGTGTACATTTTGTTTGTTTAAAACCTGTGTACATTTAAACACATTTGTATGATGTGTAAACATTTTTACATCCTGTACATTTATTTTAAAAATGTGTGCAGCTTAAACATTTAAACAAATTTTGTGCAACTTGTACATTTAAATACATATTTATGTGTTGATTCAGTAATATGCTGTTGTTTATCATATCTTAAAATTATTTTATCCCTTGTTTTTTGTATGCATTTATTTTGTTTAAAACCGGTAAATAGGATAATTCTGTGATTAATTTAAAACAAGAGAATTGCTAATATGAAGCATTTTAAAATCAAAATACTAAATGCGTTGATAAAATGTGTGCCTGAATGTGTACAGACAACTTAAGACCAGACACATGGGTCATTTTATCAAAATTTTCATTTCTTCAAGACATGTTGGACTTTCCTGTGTTTATTACGTTAGCTGGCAGCATAGCTGTAATGTGCTAGCTGGCAGCATACCTGTAATGTGCTAGCTGGCAGCATACATGTAATGTGCTAGCTGGCAGCATAGCTGTAATGTGCTAGCTGGCAGCATACCTGTAATGTGCTAGCCTGCAGCATACCTGTAATGTGCTAGCTGGCAGCATACCTGTAATGTGCTAGCTGGCAGCATACCTGTAATGTGCTAGCTGGCAGCATACCTGTAATGTGCTAGCTGGCAGCATACCTGTAATGTGCTAGCTGGCAGCATACCTGTAATGTGCTAGCTGGCAGCATACCTGTAATGTGCTAGCTGGCAGCATACCTGTAATGTGCTAGTTGGCGGCATAAAATCCACTGTGGTTTAACCTGCCTGCTAACTGCCTTGTACTATTAAACCAATGCAGCTGTCAATGTATGACTTGATTTGGTTTCATGGGATACCTGTATTTTTATCAATACTGTGACAATTGAAGAGCCTTATTGTACTTAGCTGATATCAGTGTATATGTGTGTATAGATGGCCTTTTGACATTCCTAAAATAGACCACCATCAGCAGTGAGATATTAAAACAGTAACTCAATGCTACATAGGGAGGTGATCAATGGTGGGCCCAGCATCTCTAGTGTGTACATTTGGTTGTACACATGATTACAGTAGCTGGACTCACATGTTTGTTGTGTACACAGTTGTGAGTCGTACACAGTTGTGAGTCCAACTACTATATTCATGTGTACACCTATGTATGTGACTACAGTGTGTACACATTAGTGTCTAACCACCAGACTTGTACAAACTTTTACCATTTTGTGTACTTATGTCTCAAACTATTCAGATAACAGAAATAAATGATCCAATACTTGATTTCTTTAAAATTTATTCCATCCATGACAAACATGCCTGTCATGTACAACTCAAAACAAATATTGTGATGGGGACAAACTGAACAAAGTGAAATATGGTCTTTTGTAATGACAACAATCTACGATGGTGGTGGGGGTGGGGGAGGTGGGGCCACTGGTGCTGACATAGCTGTCATTGGTGGAGGGGGTGGAACAGGGGGTGGAGGAGGAGCCACTGACATTCCAAGAGGTGCAGGGGGTGGTCGTACAGGTGGAGGTGGGGCCATGCCAGGAGGAGCCATACCAGGTGGCATTGGAGGAGCTGGCAGGCCTGGGGGTGGGGGCATGCCCATTGGTGGCCCCGGGGGAGGGGGAAACCTGACGTTAAATGGTGGTGGCATCATTCCTCCAGTGGGTGGCATTGGGGGAGGGGGTAGGCGGGGTGGTGGGGGTGGACCACCACCCATCATTTGTGGAACAGACGACGCAGGCTGCAGTGGCTTCGGACTGGATGCCCTGGTGCCTTTAGGGTCAATTTTAAAGGCAAACTGTAGGAAGAACTGGGGGAAAAAGAAAGATGGTCAATTTTAAAGGCAAACTGTAGGAAGAACTGGGGAAAAAGAAAGATGGTCAATTTTAAAGGCAAACTGTAGGAAGAACTGGGGAAAAAAGATGGTCAATTTTAAAGGCAAACTGTAGGAAGAGGTGGGGAAAAAAGATGGTCAATTTTAAAGGCAAACTGTAGGAAGAACTGGGGAAAAAGATGGTCAATTTTAAAGGCAACCTGTAGGAAGAACTGGGGAAAAAGATGGTCAATTTTAAAGGCAAACTGTAGGAAGAGGTGGGGAAAAAAGATGGTCAATTTTAAAGGCAAACTGTAGGAAGAACTGGGGAAAAAGATGGTCAATTTTAAAGGCAACCTGTAGGAAGAACTGGGGAAAAAGATGGTCAATTTTAAAGGCAAACTGTAGGAAGAACTGGGGAAAAAAGATGGTCAATTTTAAAGGCAAACTGTAGGAAGAACTGGGGAAAAAGATGGTCAATTTTAAAGGCAAACTGTAGGAAGAACTGGGGAAAAAGATGTTCAATTTTAAAGGCAAACTGTAGGAAGAACTGGGGAAAAAGATGGTCAATTTTAAAGGCAAACTGTAGGAAGAACTGGGGAAAAAAGATGGTCAATTTTAAAGGCAAACTGTAGGAAGAACTGGGGAAGAAGAAAGATGGTCAATTTTAAAGGCAAACTGTAGGAAGAACTGGGGAAAAAGATGGTCAATTTTAAAGGCAAACTGTAGGAAGAACTGGGGAAAAAGATGGTCAATTTTAAAGGCAAACTGTAGGAAGGACTGGGGAAAAAGATGTTCAATTTTAAAGGCAAACTGTAGGAAGGACTGGGGAAAAAGATGTTCAATTTTAAAGGCAAACTGTAGGAAGAACTGGGGGAAAAAGATGTTCAATTTTAAAGGCAAACTGTAGGAAGAACTGGGGGAAAAAGATGTTCAATTTTAAAGGCAAACTGTAGGAAGAACTGGGGAAAAAGATGTTCAATTTTAAAGGCAAACTGTAGGAAGAACTGGGGAAAAAGAAAGATGTTCAATTTTAAAGGCAAACTGTAGGAAGAACTGGGGAAAAAGAAAGATGTTCAATTTTAAAGGCAAACTGTAGGAAGAACTGGGGGAAAAAGATGTTCAATTTTAAAGGCAAACTGTAGGAAGAACTGGGGAAAAAGAAAGATGTTCAATTTTAAAGGCAAACTGTAGGAAGAACTGGGGGGAAAAGATGTTCAATTTTAAAGGCAAGTAACAGAAAGACTTAAAGTTGTGCTGAGTGTAACACAGATTGTGTACAATGATGGAATCAATCATCCCAAAACTAACATCAGACAGCACAGATTGTGTAGCATCAAACATCCCAAAACTAACATCAGACAGCACAGATTGTGTAGCATCAAACATCCTAAAACTAACATCAGACAGCACAGTTGTGTAGAATGATGTAATCAAACATCCCAAAACTAACATCAGACAGCACAGATTGTGTAGAATAAAACATCCCAAGACAGCCAGAACTAACACAACCAATGTAACAACAACAGCTGGCCTACCTGTTTGGTTTCTCTGTTCCAGTGTGTCCACAACTTCCTTGGGTCTTTGTCTACCTCCCTGCTGGGTACCTGCAAGTAGACATGACCAGCTAGATAAGACAGATGACCAGCTAGATAAGACAGACAGATGACCAGCTAGATAAGACAGACAGATGACCACCTAGATAAGACAGATGACCAGCTAGATAAGACAGATGACCAGCTAGATAAGACAGACAGATGACCAGCTAGATAAGACAGACAGATGACCAGCTAGATAAGACAGACAGATGACCAGCTAGATAAGACAGACAGATGACCAGCTAGATAAGACAGACAGATGACCAGCTAGATAAGACAGACAGATGACCAGCTAGATAAGACAGACAGATGACCAGCTAGATAAGACAGACAGATGACCAGCTAGATAAGACAGACAGATGACCACCTAGATAAGACAGATGACCAGCTAGATAAGACAGATGACCAGCTAGATAAGACAGACAGATGACCAGCTAGATAAGACAGACAGATGACCAGCTAGATAAGACAGACAGATGACCAGCTAGATAAGACAGATGACCAGCTAGATAAGACAGACAGATGACCAGCTAGATAAGACAGACAGATGACCAGCTAGATAAGACAGACAGATGACCAGCTAGATAAGACAGACAGATGACCAGCTAGATAAGACAGACAGATGACCAGCTAGATAAGACAGACAGATGACCAGCTAGATAAGACAGACAGATGACCAGCTAGATAAGACAGACAGATGACCAGCTAGATAAGACAGATGACCAGATAGATAAGACAGACAGATGACCAGCTAGATAAGACAGATGACCAGCTAGATAAGACAGATGACCAGCTAGATAAGACAGATGACCAGCTAGATAAGACAGACAGATGACCAGCTAGATAAGACAGACAGATGACCAGCTAGATAAGACAGATGACCAGCTAGATAAGACAGATGACCAGCTAGATAAGACAGACAGATGACCAGATAGATAAGACAGACAGATGACCAGCTAGATAAGACAGATAGATGATCAGCTAGATAAGACAGACAGATGACCAGCTAGATAAGACAGATGACCAGCTAGATAAGACAGATGACCAGCTAGATAAGACAGATGACCAGCTAGATAAGACAGACAGATGACCAGCTAGATAAGACAGATGACCAGCTAGATAAGACAGACAGATGACCAGCTAGATAAGACAGATGACCAGCTAGATAAGACAGACAGATGACCAGCTAGATAAGACAGATGACCAGCTAGATAAGACAGACAAATGACCAGCTAGATAAGACAGACAGATGACCAGCTAGATAAGACAGACAGATGACCAGCTAGATAAGACAGATGACCAGCTAGATAAGACAGATGACCAGCTAGATAAGACAGACAGATGACCAGCTAGATAAGACAGATGACCAGCTAGATAAGACAGATGACCAGCTAGATAAGACAGATGACCAGCTAGATAAGACAGACAGCAGAAGTGTTCTACCTTAAATGCTATGGTCTCATAAGGTTCAGCAGCAAACAGAAGGTACTGCCACTTCCTGTCCGGGGGTTCAATACGCTGCTCATACGCTGCCATGAAACGATACCTGGGTTGGATGGACTCGACTATTTCAGGGTAATCAATCTGTGGAGGCAACAATTGGTTTGTATTTGTATACAACATGACTGGGTGAAAACATGAGTGGGTGTATACAACTTGACTGGGTGTATACAACATGACTGGGTGTATACAACATGACTAGGTGTATACATCACATCATGACTGGATGTATACAACATGACTGGGTGTATACATCACATCATGACTGGATGTATACAACATGACTGGGTGTATACATCACAACATGACTGGGTGTATACATCACAACATGACTGGGTGTATACAACATGACTGGGTGTATACAACTTGACTGGGTGTATACAATATGACTGGGTGTATACAACATGACTGGGTGTATACATCACATCATGACTGGGTGTATACAACTTGACTGGGTGTATACAACTTGACTGGGTGTATACAACCTGACTGGGTGTATACATCACATCATGACTGGGTGTATACAACTTGACTGGGTGTATACAACTTGACTGGGTGTATACAACTTGACTGGGTGTATACAACATGACTGGGTGTATACATCACATCATGACTGGGTGTATACAACTTGACTGGGTGTATACAACTTGACTGGGTGTATACAACTTGACTGGGTGTATACAACTTGACTGGGTGTATACAACATGACTGGGTGTATACATCACATCATGACTGGGTGTATACAACTTGACTGGGTGTATACAACATGACTGGGTGTATACATCACAACATGACTGGGTATATACATCACAACATGACTGGGTGTATACATCACAACATGATTGGGTGTATACATCACATCACAACATGACTGGGTGTATACATCACAACATGACTGGGTGTATACATCACAACATGACTGGGTGTATACATCACAACATGACTGGGTATATACATCACAACATGACTGGGTTTATACAGCACAACATTATTGGGTTTATACATCACAACATGACTGGGTGTATACATCACAACATGACTGGGTGTATACATCACAACATGATTGGGGTACACCATATCAATCACATCACTTGTGTGTTAACTGTACAAAACTGCACCATTCTCCTACAAACAATCTTGTCAGACATGTGAATGTAGCTTGACTGTGTGTAAGACAACAGAGAACTAAACAATCTATTTTGTCAGACATGTGAATGTAGCTTGACTGTGTGTCAGCAGAGAACTAAACAATCTATCTTGTCAGACCATGTGAATGTAGCTTGACTGTGTAAGCCAACAGAGAACTAAACAATCTATCTTGTCAGACATGTGAATATAGCTTAACTGTGTGTAAGCCAACAGAGAACTAACCTGAAACAACAGTGACTGTTGCATGGACTCCTGGTCTCTCTGTTTGGTCACTGAAATGTACAACAATAACAACATTTGTACTAATGTATCTCATTCAATTGTTATTCAAATTACATGTTCTAAAAATGTTCTTAGCTGAATTAGATAAGGCAAGAAAATCAAATGAAAACGACTATAACTTGAAAACGTGATGAGCTGTTGACAAAACTAGCTATTCTACCTTTATAACCAGGCCTTCCAATTTTGACAAAACGCCTGATATCAACCTTAGGTCTCTCAGGGGCCGGCTGGGCGGGCGCATCTTTAGCCTCTTTGGCTGCACGACGGGCCCTGTAAACAGAGACAGGCTATAGCAAGGGAGACAACAACTGACCACTGTCACATCAATCTATTAGAACACCACAAGATCATTCTTATACCTGAAGTAGGCCTTTCTCATGTCAAATAACACATTTTTAACTTATTCAGGGGCAGCTTAGAGAAAAAAATGAGAATAAAATCAGGTAAAAAAAATCACTTACAAGTTACTCTGATGTTTCTTTCCTTGGGTGTGTGCGAGATAGCTGCCCTAAATATGACAAGCGCAACAATCAGACATTGAACATTATATATGGCAAGATAGCTGCCCAAAATATAAGTGATACAACAGTCAGACATTAAACATTATATGTATGGCAAGGTAGACACCCTAAATATAAATAATTAAAAATTTATAGAAGAGATTTCAGGGCTAGGTTTGAACGGTAAAACTGACCTCATTGTTGTGAAGGGTCAAACATAACTTGCATTCATAGGAGCCCAAATGATTTTTCATAAAGTATGGATCCTGAAAAATATAAACATAATTTCTCATAACTGTGAAAATACTAATATAATTTAAAACTACACATTTAAGAGCTACACAGACTTTAAGAAATATGTTAAAACTTATGTTCATGTGACTGCATGCATTAACATCAATCATCAGATAAGTGAGAAAAACCAAGGGATTACTCCCACCTTATTCAAATCAATAGTTTCCAAAGCCAACTGCCGGAGTCTCTCCCTTCTATCCCTATTGCTCTCTGAGGCTGAGGCCACACCTCCAGTGCCTGTCTTACCCCCAGCTCTGTGCTGGAAATCCATCTTGTCTATTCAGTCCCTTGCTACTGAAAGTTGAAGAGATTTGCAAAATAATTATAACCTGTTAGATGTTGTTAAATCTCCAAATAATCTATAATAATAGTTTTGTATAGTGTATTATCAAACTAACCAATATATTCTTATGCATCCATATTCAACCAAACATTTACATGTAGCTCATGCCCGATCTATTCTGGAAAGGTTTATTTAACTGGCTGTTTGTAATGAAAGGGTGGTGAAAAAGGCAAAGACATGCAAAAAGAAAAGCAGTGATGAAAATTAAGTAACAATACATTATATAATAACACCTAAGATCAATTATGTTCTGTAAAAGTTCCGTTAAATTTAGGGATAAAGTGTAGTGTTAAGAGACTAGCGAGTATATTTGTTTATTTGTTTTAAAGTGACTGAAATAGCTTAGCATAGTGAAAGCATTGAAACTCCTCTGCCTATCTCAACAAAATGAAGCTCCAACGTTCCTCCAACCTGCACTGGGTCTACATCTCCACCAACCTTCTATGGGAAACTCAAGTCTATTCACTTTCAAGGCCAATACACTCTATAAAACTAGTTCAGGAGTATATATATATATATATATATATATATATATATATATATATACTAGCCATCCCACTCTGTTAAGGGCCATTACCTGTGTGTTTAGTAATCATCATATACCCAGCATTGCCCACCCTAACCACAACCAACCAAAACCAAAAAAAACCCAAAGATAACCGAACACAATTACAAATACAAACGAAAACAAAAACCTAACAACAAACCCAACCATAAACACAAATCCAAAGAAAAAACAAACTATAACAAACCAAAGCCAAACGCAAACTGTTTTTGTTTTTTTTTTAATTTTTATTTATATATTTAGGCCTAGTTACCGAAAATATTAAAAACATCAAATAGGTACATCCAATCTTTAGTAAAGTCCGAAAAAAAAACAGACAGACAGGATTTTATAACCATATTAATTGTAACTACGCCATGCATGATTTTTAAATTAATTAATTAATGATTAATGGGCCTCTCGAATACCTTCTTGCTAGCGTCCATTCAATTGTTTAAAAACAGGTACAAATATTAGCTAGGCCAATGCAAAAATTTAATTTCAGTAAAACAATATAATAGTTACATATTTGGATAGGGGCTGTCAATCTGATTACAGATCAGTTTGAATTTTCAAAATCTGACCATAAACAAAAAAGTTATGAATTTTTTAGTCATTAAAAAACAGCAGTTTTTTCAGACAACCGGGGTAGACCCTGAAAGAGGAAAAATACTGGGAGGGTATGGACCAAATTTTTAAGCGTTTTTCACTAAAAGTGGTATAATTAGTATAAAAGCCAGAATACTTTATCAATTGATGTAATTTTAAAACATTTTATAGATTTTTGTATGCTGAATCCAATGATGCTATTTTAAAAAGTGTCCTTCGATTACTCAACCTACTAATCTCATAGATTATGTAATACCCCCCTTTAAATTTTTTTTTAAACATCTAATAATCAACGTGATAAGAAGTCATTCTTTAAATGTAACGCTGTTTTAATCTAAAATATGACATTTGTATATGCTCAAGCTAATGGTAGATTTGAAATGGTCCAACATTGTTACATAACTATCAAATGTTAAGGTTATGTAATCCCACCCTTTGCTCAAAATATACCATGAATTTGTTTTAAAATCACTTTTGTTCATTGTCAGTTAACTTCAAGTTAATAGCCTACTAGAAGAAAATATAACTAATCAAGTTTTTCAATACAAAGAGAAGAATGCTATAGTAAATTTGTGATTAGGTAACTTCTTAAAAGATGTTATGTAATCTATGTGCAATACTATAGGCCTACTCTGTTCCAAAAATAAAGGCCTATCTCATTATAATTACATTTCTTGTTATTTTAAATATCTTAATCCTTTTTGCTCTAGAATTAGTCTAGTTACAAATGTGTTTGATCAGAATCAGAGTGTGCTTTATGGTAATTACGTAATATTATTACCCATATTAAAGTTAATCATTTTTACAATGTCAATAAAATAAACTTTGGAGGAAAATATTTTTTTTTTAAACTTGCACAAGGTATAGATCTAGTTATAGATACATAACATAAATTTATATTTATGCCCAATGTTTATGCTAGTAGTAAGTATGTTTATGTATTTTGTAAGCCTACCAGTAGCCCTTTTACAATTAAAAACTTTCTTAAGAAAAAAGCATGTGTTTGCGTGCTTGACTGTGTAGATCTAGTAGATTCTAGAAATTGTGTAAGATCACAGTGTTTGGCTATACACAGACACGTGTACCACCACCAGCTTTTGACATGTGGGTAACCAGGTCTTCTGACCAACGAATTTTATTGCCCTATTACGTAAACACGACCGCTGGATAGGCTAGTCGGCCAACCCGATGAACGTGTCAGATGAATATTATGTAATCTCAGAGACAAAAGTCTGGCAAGATTTCCTGATCTATGCCCGAGGGTTAGTAACATCAACTCCACAAAGTGAAGGGGGAGGGAGGTGGGGTATGAAACCACCGTGTACCGTACGGGTGTTATACAACATCAAAAGCGATGCTCGTCGGCTTGTCGCATCACGGACTAGTGGGGGCGGGGTGAGGCTATGGGTGTTACATACGGTGTAGCATGGTCAGTGGCTACCCCCATCCACCCACCCCATTTTGGTCGATTTGGCAAGCTAGTGGTATTAAAATTTGTAGAAAAGAGCCCCAGATATAATTTAATTTATTTTTAAAGCCATTTTTACGAAAATGTAATGTACACAATAATGAAACGTTACACGAATCACATCACAGCATTGTTTGATCGGGCCGAAGATATTCGGATTAATTTCTAAAGAAGATTAATTTTGACGATTAGTCTTCAGCCGTAAATACTAACAAAACTTTTGTTTGACGTTTCAATGGGTTAAGACAAAGTTATACAACATGTCTGTGTGCTTATAAATATAAAGTAGCCGTCGAGTCAAACACGGGAACACATGTATCTATCTTTAGACATTGTTTATAGTCTCATCCAATCGGATCAAGCGCCTAGCGTCACGTGACCACACACTCGGCTGTGCCACACGATGTGTAGCTAGGCCAATGCCGCTGCCGAGAAAATCGGACAAATCGGCTTTTCCCTACCCCCTGCATGTTTAACTCCGTTTTTTGCATGATTTTATTGTGTTTATATTAACATGTTATACATCATTCTGTTCGTAATTGAATAACCTTTTTAACTGTATAAGTTTGATTTCTTTATTATTTCAGACGTTGAAGAAATCGCCGATTTAATCGCATTTTTTACCCCCCGCGGCGACGTGCCGATTAGGGGGGAGGCTTTTTCACCTTTTTAAAAGAGGGGTGTTACTTAGAGTCTATAGACTCTTTGAGTTTTCGTACTACAACAGTGAAACTTGGTAGAAGAATAGATTAAATGTTCACGTATAACGCTCAAGGTTCTTGGGGAAAATATGTTAAATACTTTTGGAGATATCGAACGGCAAAGTTGAATTAAGTTATTTGGGCTATTAATGAACTGATTTTTAATTTGAACCTTGAGCTGTATTCCTGAAATCTCGACGTTTATTAATATGTATGATATGTCATATTAGGCCCTATAATAAGGACGTCTATAGACTTTGAAGTGGACCGAAAATCAAAACATGACGCGCCGACCGCTGTCCGACTGAACCGCTCGGCTGTGCTTCGAATCGCTGTGTTTTAAATATGACGCGCTACAATTTTTTTTATAGACGTATCGAGTTTACGTACTACAACAATCAAATTTGGCAGACGAACAGATTAAATGTAGACGTACAACGCTCAAGGTTCGTGATCAAAATAAGTTAAATACTTCGGGAGATATCGGACCGCAAAGTTGAACTAAGTTTCCCGGTCTATTATTTGACCTATTTTACATTTGAACCTTGAGCTGTATTCCTGAAATTCCGCCGATTATTTTAATGTATGACATGTATTATAACACCTCATAATAAAGCCGTCCATACATTTTAAGACAGAACGAAAATAAAAATTAACGCGTCGGCCGCCGTCCGACTGAATCGTGATCTACACATCGTGTAGCACAGCCGAGTGTGTGGTCACGTGACGCTAGGCGGTTGATCCGATTGGATGAGACTATAAACAATTTCTAAATATAGATACGTGTGTTCCCGTATTTGACTCGTCGGGTATTGCTATTTTATATTTAAGTAGACAGGCATGTTTCATAACTTTGTTTCATAACCACTGAAACGGCAAACAAAAAAGTCGTAATAGTATTTACTAATCGTCAAAATTAATCTTCTTTAGAAATTAATCCGGATAGCTGCGACCCGACCAAACAATGCTGACGTGATTCGCGTGCCGTAACGTTTCATTATTGTGTACATTACTTTTTTCGTAAAAATAGCTTTAAAAAATAAATTAAATTTTACCCTGGGCTCTTTTTTTTCGGTTGACTAAAAAATGTTAAAACCCTTAACAACGTGGAGGTTACTAGCTTGCCAAATCGACCAAAATGGGATGGGGTGGGTATGGGGAGTCACTGACCATCCTACACGGTATGTAACTATTGTAACACCGTATGTAACATCCATAGCCTCACCCCGCCCCCACTACTCCGTGACGCGACAAGCCGAGGGTCGGCGCCTTTGATGTTGTATAACACCCGTACGGTACCCGAGCGGCTCGCGGTGGTTTCATACCCCACCTCCCTCCCCCTTCACTTTGTGGCGTTGATGTTACTAACCCTCGGGCATAGATCAGGAAATCTTGCCAGACTTTTGTCTCTAAAATTACATAATATTCGTCTGACACGTTCATCGGGTTGGCCGACTAGCCTATCTTGCCTCGTGTTTACGTAATACGGCAATAAAATTCGTTGGTCAGAAAACCTGGTTAACCACGTCTGATTTCACTAAATCTAGGCACATGCTGATGGTGATAAACGCCTCCTGAAACTTAAAAAATGCCTAGCATCTACTACACACAGTCAAGCACTCAAACACGTGCTTTTTCCCCCAATGTAATAGGCCTATGGTAGGCCTACAAAATACACAAGCTTACTACTAGCATAAACATTGAGCATATAAAAATCTATGTTATAGACCTATAACTTACACTACCTTGTACAAGCTAAAAAAAAACCATTTTCCTCCAATGTTTATGTTATTAAAATTGTAAAAATGAGCAATTTTTTGTGTTTAAAAATATTACAAAATTGTCATAAAGCACACTGATTCTGATAAGACACATTTGTAACTAGGCTAATTCTATAGAAGAAAGTTGTATCAAAGGTATGACATTTAAAGTAACAAGAAATATAAATATAATAACATATGCCTATAATTTTGGAATAGAGTAGGCCTGTACGATTGCACATAGATTACATAACATATTTTAAAAAGTTACATCATCACAAATATACTATTGTTATAACATCCTTCTCTTTGTATTAAAACTGTATTAGTTATCTTTTCTTTAAGTAGGCTATTCACTTAAGTTAACTGACAATGAGCAAAAGAGATTTTAAAATAAATACATGGTAAATTATGAGCAAAAGGTGCGAATTACATAACCTGACCTTTATAGTTTTGTAATAATGATCGACCATTTTAAATATCACCATTAGCTTCAGCATATACAAATGTCATATTATGGTTTAAAACAGTGTTTAATTTAAAGAATGTCTTCTTATCACACGGATTATCAGATGTTGTAAAAAAAAAATTGAAGGGGGGTATTACATAATTCATGAAATAAGTCTGTTATGTAATCAAAAGACACTTTTTAAAATAGCATCATTGGATTCGGCATACAAAAATCTACAAAATATCATAAAATGACATCAATTGATGAAGTCTGCTTACTTTTATACCACTTTTAGTGAAAAACTCTTAAAAATTTGGTCCATACCCTCCCAGTATTTTTCCTCTTTCAGGGTCTATCCCAGTTGTCTGAAAAAACTGCTGTTTTTTAATGACAAAAAAATTCATAACTTTTTTGTTTATGGTCAGATTTTGAAAATTCAAACTGATTTGTAATCAGATTGACAGCCCCTATCCAAATATGTAACTATTATATTGTTTTACTGAAATTAAATTTTTGCATTGGCCTAGCTACGATGTGTAGATCACCAATCAGTCGGACGGCGGCCGACGCGTTAATTTTTATTTTCGTTCGCTTTTAAAATGTATGGACGGCTTTATTACGAGGTGCTATATTACATGTCATACATTTAAATAAACGGCGGGATTTCGGGAATACAGCTCAGGGTTCAAATGTAAAATATGTCCAATAATAGACCAGGAAACTTGGTTCAACTTTGCGGTCCAATATCTCCAAAAGTATTTAACTTATTTTGACCACGAACCCTGAGCGTTATACGTCTACATTTAATGTATTCGTCTGCCAAATTTAACTGTTGTAGTACGTAAACTCGATACGTGTATACAAATTTTGTAACGCGTCATCAGGTTAAAAACGGCGATTCGAAGCACTGCAGGGCGGTTCAGTCAGACAGCGGTCGGCGCGTCGTGTTTATATTTTCGGTCCACTTCAAAGTCTATAGACGTCCTTATTATAGGGCCTTATAGGACATATCATACATATTAATAAACGTCGAGATTTCAGGAATACAGCTCAGGGTTCAAATAAAAAATCGGTCCATAAATAGCTCAAATAACTTAGTTTAACTTTGCGGTCTGATATCTCCGAAAGTATTTAACATATTTTAACCAAGAACCCTGAGCGTTATACGTGTACATTTAATCTATTCTTCTACCAAGTTTCACAGTTGTAGTACAAAAACTCACAGAGTCTATAGACTCCAAGTAACACCCCCCTTTTAAAAAGGTGAAAAAGCCTCCCCCCTAATCGGCACGTCGCCGCGGAGGGTAAAAAATGCGATTTAATCGGCGATTTCTTCAACGTCTGAAACAATAGAGAAATCAAACTAATACAGTTAAAAAGGTAATTCAATTACGAACAGAATGATGTATAACATGTTAATATAAACACAATAAAAGCATGTAAAAAACAGAGTTAAACATGCAGGGGGTAGGGAAAAGCCGATTTGTCCGATTTTATCGGCAGCGGCATTGGCCTAGCTACAAATATGAAACAAGGAAACGATAGATTACCCATTTTTGTATTTTTCTAAACATAAATCCTCCTCAAAATGTGAAAAAATTATTAAAACTTAAGGAGTCACCTGTTTTTCACATTACTAGTCGCGGGCGATTTTACGTAGGCCGTAGTAGGTAGGCCGTTCGAATTCACAGCTTCCGGGTTTGTTGTTTTGAAGCCATCTCACGGCTCATGCGCTTACCAAAAATGGCGACCAGTTTCGCTTTCACTAATGGGTAGAGGGATAAAACTAATGATTACGAAGCCATCGTTAATTTTAGACATCGGAACTATCCGTTTCTATTTAAGTCTGTTGTTTAAGAATTGTCGGATCTACTTTTGGCCTAATTTCTTTGTTTGTATTTAACGAGGCCGTCGAGAGAAAGTCACGCTTATTTAGCTTGCGTTTCAAGTCGAATTAACTAAAGCAGGTGCGCTCGACAATAACTTTTTTATTTTTTACAATTTTTATAACATCTTTACTATCAAATAAAAATTGAATTGTTTAATGAAATTAGGGTGAAAACAATACATTTGAGGGTGTAAGTGATCACCCCTCAATAATGCCATTTTATTATATTCTTGTTTGGTGAAAACGAGGCGCGGGAAAATGTGTGCCGCGCAAGAATCCAATCATTTGGCTAGATTTATGACTGTTTTTTATGTCATACCTAAAAATAGAATGTTTACGCTTTCTTCGTTGATGATCGTTTTTATTATTTTTTAAATTGAAAGTATGAATTATTAGTTAGATTGCGGATTTTGTAACTTGGTATACTTACCTTTTATCAATTTAAAAAACATAGCATGCTAATTGTGAACAAATATAGTCATAAAACACAGAAATATAAAGTTATAATTGCGATGTGCCACACCCGGGCCACACCCCCTCAAGAAAGCATGTGTTTATTAAGCTGTTTATCTCACTTTACAACAGTAATTAAAATTAATTTTCAAATTTTTATCACTTATTGGGTAAGATTAAGCACATGTTTACCAAAAATAAAAATAAAACAAAAGCAAATTCTGTTTTAATGAAGGTCACGGGTGAAGTTTTTTTTTCCTTCTGTCACGTTCAGTGGAGGGTGCCACAGGCTGACCTGACTTTGGAATTTTTTTCAGTAATAATGACTTTGCACAGAAAGTTAAAATATGCTAAATTAGCTTAGTTTACTAGTGTTCTAGCTATTATTGATACATTTTTAATAAAAAAATCATTCTGTAATTCTCATCAAACAGCCTACCGTAGTAGGCCTACCCACAAAACGATAGATTACTGATTACCCATAGATCTACTGTGTTTAGCCTAATTTGTATATTTCTAAAAGTCTAAAAGATAATGTAGGGTTCCTCATTCCCCTATTAATAATAAAAGAAACATCGTAGACTTACAAATTTATTGTATTATAGTTTTTTTTACACTTTTAGATCTAATACTTGTTACGAAAATGCGATCATGGAGGTCGCCATATTGTTAGGCTAACTAAACACTTCCGCTCTCTCGGCATATTTTTTTTTTTTTTTAAATATTGGGCTAGATCTAATTTTAGGTCTAAATGTCTAGGGTCCTTTAATGTAACCCGAATAAATTTTATAAGCCAGTTTCGATCTTCAAATTGGTTTTAAAATAATAGATATATTAATCTGTCTTCTTTTTTTTTTTTTTTATAAAGTTAAAATCTCTCTAGCCCCCTGACTACCGGTACAACAATTCAATATGGCGTCGTAAACAAGGATTTTGTGAAAAAGTATGTAGATCTAGATCTAGACCTAGTATGTACTATGTAAGTATGAGTTGGTATGAGTATGAAGACCATCCCATATTGATTAGTACAATTACTTCTCTCTACTATTCTCTATTAAATCTTCAGTTTTATACTATATTATAGTAACTATAAAATTTAAATAGTATAAATAGTATACAAAGAAAGATAGTAGATACTAGATACAAATACAATCACATCAGTCGTCATCAGCATCTCTAGATCTAGATCTTTTCTAGTCTAGTAAACTAAACTCTAGACTCTAGAGTAGTGTAAAATCTAGTCACCTAGTGTAATGTTGGACTGAGTTGGGAATTGGGGTGTTGGGAAATTGCGAGACGTGAACCCGTAATGTTGAGTGTATATTTTAAAGTAGTACCTAATTCAATTGGCTAAAATATTATTAATATTCAATATCAATAGTAATGTCAATAGCCGAATAGGCCCTAATTTTAAAATAATTTAATTTCAGCGTAAAAAACTCGTCCCACTCTGTTGTCTCACTGTCTGACTCTAGAGTCTAGATCTAGATCTCAATCTAACTCTGTGTGTGTGTTTACTGTTTGTTTACTACTGTGTGTTTAGCATTATTAGTCACGAGTCAGTAAAGTTTGTACTAATAATGAACTGATACTGTTTAAAATAGACTAGTGTAGATTTACTACTTCTTCTATCACACAATACTAGATTAGTAGATCTAGTAATGATGATAGTACATTAGAGTTAGACTGATCAGCATTAGAGCGTAATTAATTAAGGCTTAACTACAATAACTAGTGTAACTAAATCAGCTAAATGTTACTTAGTCTTTATTAGTGAATGGTTGGCTATTCCTTAGAAAGGTTATATGCACTTCACTAGAATGTGACTATAACGGCTCAAGACTCTCCTCATTCTAACTAGGCTTAATGCAGTGATGAGTGAATGTTGCTGGGCCACACATTAGTCATTAGGCTGTTTTTTGTTTGTAAAATAATTTACATGCCAATGCAATTTAATGCACTGATCTCAAAAAAACAGAACAGTATCAACAACATAATTACACTGAAGTGTCACTAAAGCAAACTTATTTATAATTTTTTTCAATTTCTAAATATATATTATTCAAAATCTATAAAACCCTCCCCCTTTCCCTTATATAAAAAACATTTACAATTTAGGGCAATTAAGGCTCTAACTTGGGACCACGATTCAGAACAAATTAAGTACAATGATCAGTGGTAGAAATACTACAAAGAAATCATATTGTTCTTAGAAGTAGGCCTACTATATTTGCATTAATTGTTCTTCACAGTAGAAACTAAAAAGATGAGAGGCAAGAATTAGCTGAAAAAGACAGCATTCGGTCATTCAGCATGGTAAGACATAGTGTAACCAGAGTTAGGACCTTTTTTAAACACTCAACAACTGAAGACACTCTTAATGAAATTCTAATTTTGTATAAATTCATATTGTGAGTGATAATTTTTTTTTAATCTGAATTAAATAATATAATAGTGGTCCTTGGTAATTTTTTTTTCTTTTCAGAATAAACCCCTCAGCTTGACATGATGGATGAAATGGAGGCAAGAAGTGATCTGCCCTCTTCAGTAGAGGAAATCAGAAAGAAAAGACTTGCTTATTTTAGAGTCAGTGAGACCCCGGAACTGTCAGCCAATGACAAGGGCTCAAATAGCACATGTATGGAAAATGGTTTAGTTAAGACACTTCCATCTAAAACTGAAGTGCATCTCAAGACCTTAGAGGAGCATATAATTGACCAGCAAATTATGAGCCTTAAAACTAGCAGCCCTCAGTATGAAGAAAACTCAAAGACATGGCTAAGAAATGAACAAATGTCTTCTCAGCAAGGTAGATTTGAACCAGCGCCCCTCAAATCAAGCCACCAAAACACTGGCAGCTTTGTCCCAGCCACCAACAGTCATACTGCAGGTCCCAGTCATACTGCAGGTCCCAGTCATACTGTAGGTCACAGTCATACTGCAGGTCCCAGTCATACTGTAGGTCACAGTCATACTGCAGGTCCCAGTCATACTGCAGGTCCCAGTCATACTGCAGGTCACAGTCATACTGCAGGTCCCAGTCATACTGCAGGTCCCAGTCATACTGCAGGTCCCAGTCATACTGCAGGTCCCAGTCATACTGCAGGTCCCAGTCATACTGCAGGTCACAGTCATACTGTAGGTCACATTCATACTGCAGGTCCCAGTCATACTGTAGGTCCCAGTCATACTGCAGGTCCCAGTCATACTGTAGGTCACAGTCATGCTGTAGATCACAGTCATGCTGCAGGTCCCAGTCATACTGTAGGTCACAGTCATGCTGTAGATCACAGTCATGCTGCAGGTTCCAGTCATACTGTAGTTCCCAGTCATACTGCAGGTCCCAGTCATGTGGAATCCCCGCAGCCTGTCAGTGTCTTCAACAGCGCTGCAAGTTTGGATGATTTGGGTCTGAGAACACATCGTCCACTGGTGCCTTACCATGACTCTGAGAGTTTTCTTGTTAACAGTAAGTTAACGCAGGCAGGCAGTGAGATCTTCAGTGAAAAAACTAGGGAGGACATCCAGAGTGTACTTGGTGAGAAAGGTTTAGAAAATTTAATGTCAAAGGTCAATTATGACATTCATCTGTTGCACCAGGGGAGGCTACCACTGAGAGATTTAAGCAAAAACACAGCAGACAGTGTAGACAAGATGGTAGATCTGACTGACAAGTCACCTAAAGCTTCATCACATGGGACATTTGGTTCAACAAAGGGCAAGCACCATGACATACCTGCTGATAGTCTCTCCTCGAGAGAAAATTTGGTCAGCAAAAACCTGGACCAGCTGAAGCAGGGGGAGAGGGAGGCTGCTGCTAGGGCCAGGAACTATGAGCAGGTCACGCTGCCCAGAAATACCAAACACTCGTTCTCTGCTGATGAGATTTATAGGCAAGCTTATGGAGAGGCAGCCAGGCCACACTCAGTGCATGGTGGGACATCAGCAAGGTCATATTCTGGCCTTGAGACACCTAGGTCACATTCTGGCCTTGAGATGCCAGCGAGGTCACAATCTGGACACACCAGTCACAGGCAGCTGGCTGGATACAGCCTCAGTGATACAACATCTTCTCCTACAAGAAACTTGTCCGTTGGTGGTGTCCCCTCTTTTAATATTCCCATTTCCGCAAGCCACCACCAGAACTTCTCTCACCCCCCGCCACCTGTTAGCCACACCTTGTTCCACCCACACACTGCTGCTCCCCCCACACCTGAGCTGCCACCTGCTCCCTACACCCACAGGGATGTAGACTTGTACCACCTGCCCCAGCAAACAACCCACGTTAATTTTACTCACCCACCCCCCAGCATGCCCTATGACTTCTCCAACACACCCCCTTCACCTGGAAACTATTTTTACCCCCCTCCTCCTTTTCTAGAACCCAATGATATTCCAAAGTTCCCAAATGGTGTCCCCCTCCACCTGCCCCCTCCAGCCATATATCACCAGAGCAGCCTCGCTAAGGTAAGACAGGAGTCACTTGTTTGATAGATTTATTTTAGTGCTAGAAGTAATCATTTGATTCTAAAGCCAGCAGAACTGATAGTTTTATTTAGTAATCTGTATAAAGGTGGGGGGCAGCATTAACTTAAAATACTAAACCTGAATCATAGCCAGAGTTGGGGTTAGTCTAGAACATTGTTGGCCAATATCTTTAAAAACATCTGCCTGTGTGCCATCAACACCTCACACCTGTACCATGTCTGATCCTTTCAGCCTGAAGATGTGACACCCCACCTGAGGAGCCCTCTAAAGACACCCCACCCACCCCCTGTACCACCTGCGTTACAGCCAAAAAGTTACCGTGGCCCAGACAACAGGTACATTTTGGTTATGTAACAGTTATAACCAGGTTATGTAACAGTTATAACCGGGTCATGTAACAGTTATAACTGGGTCATGTAACAGTTATAACAACGTCATGTAACAGTTATAACCAGGTCATGTAACAGTTATAACTGAGTCATGTAACAGTTATAACCGGGTCATGTAACAGTTATAACTGGGTCATGTAACAGTTATAACCGGGTCATGTAACAGTTATAACCGGGTTTACGTCATATTTTTATCTACAAACATCCTTGACTTTATCCCTCCCACAGATACCTGGTGCAACCTGGGGGTCAAGGCCATGCATTTTCACCTGAAGGTCAAGGCCATGCTCTGCCACCTGGTGTCTCCAGCCATTATACACTGCAGAGATATTTTTCATCTCTAGTGCCCAATGAACCACTGACCTTTGACCCTTTGAACTCCAGTAGACTGGACACCGATAGGTCAGCAGACGAGGATGCTGTCTCCATGTTTACTAGTGTGACAGCTGCTGAGGGGGGGGTGACCAAACGCCTGGAGGGGCTGGGGGTGGACCTAGATCAGCTCAAACACCTCAGGCTAGTTGATGGAAGGCAAGGTCAAGCTGACCCTGAGGAAAGTTTCCAGCAATTGTCGTCTGGGGTGCGCAAGTGTCCGGAGTGTCAGGCGTCCAATAAAGCTTACATGAACTGGTGCGTGTCTTGTGGGGAGCTCCTGATTGGGGTGGAGCTAACTCTACCTAAACCAAGGGGCAAGCAGGCTGGGGGCAGGGAGAGAAGGGCAGAGAGGGGCACAAAACAGAGAGATCACATGACACACAAAAACTGTCAGAAGACACCCAGACAAACTCTACCCAGCAAGGAATCCCCAGAATCTGGGCAGGGCTTGTCTCTCTCTGACTCCACTGGGGGGTGCAGGCAGGAAGATGATCCCTTGGACAGCGGCAGAGCTTCTGGCAGCAAGGAAAAGGATGCCAGGAACCTCCACAGTCCTGCAACTTTGGACTTGTTAGATCAAATCAAAGACCCCATTCTCAAAGGCTTTGTCTTAGCCTACACCAAGAAACGTGTAGAGAAGGAGACTACGGGCAGCAGAACCCCAGGCAATCATTCGGAGTCTTCCCAAACATTTTGGCCAGCAGAAAATGAAGGGCAGCCACCCCAGTCGTTGAGTTCCTTACCTGCCTCGTCCAGTCCAGAGCCAGCTCCCCATCTGGCTGAGGAACACCAGGTAAGCTTGGACCTGGTTTCATTGGCCGCAGGCAAGCACAAGAAGAGGAGGAGGAAACACAAGGATCAGGCTATGGATATAGAAATCTTTGGATACGAGGAGTCACATCAGAGCCGTGATTCCAGCCGGGCCGCCAGTGGACTCAAGGTTCCCTTGCTCAACCTGGCCGGCAGCTCCAGTGAGAGCTGCAGTGAGAGCAGTGGGAGCAGTGACGTGGAGGCCGAGCCAGAACCTGCAGCACCCCCGCCTGTAGCACCCCTGCCTGCAGCACCCCTGTCTGCAGCACCCCCACCTGTAGCACCCCTGCCTGCAGCACCCCCACACAAGCCTGTGAGACCCCCAACCCAACAGAGAGGTCAGAATGCCTCACTTTCTCCACCAGTCAAACCTATCAGGCAGAACACAGTTGTGCCGGTCAGTTACCAGAGACACTGGGCCAGGTCCAGCATAGCCTGGGGCTCATTCAACCCCAGAGAACTCAACACCAGGTATGTCATCAGTCTTCTTCTATGTCGCAAGTCTCCTTCTATGTTGCCAGTCTTCTTCAATGTCACCAGTCTTCTTCAATGTCGCAAGTCTTCTTCAATGTCGCAAGTCTTCTTCAAACTTCAATGTCGCAAGTCTTCTTCAATGTCGCCAGTTAAATTCTGTTTCCAGTTAACTTCTATGTCGCCAGTCTTCTTCAATGTCGCAAGTCTTCTTCTATGTTGCCAGTTAACTTCTATGTTGCCAGTTAACTTCTGTTGCCAGTTAACTTTTATGTTGCCAGTTAACTTCTATGTTGCCAGTTAACTTTTATGTTGCCAGTTAACTTCTATGTTGCCAGTTAACTTTCATGTTGCCAGTTAACTTCTATGTTGCCAGTTAACTTCTATGACGCCAAACTTCTTCAACTGGCCAGTAGTACTGAACTTTGACCTTATATAAACCTGTATCTTGTTTCTGACCTACCAGGTCCAGCCTGACCCATCCAGCAGTCACCAACACAGAGGGCGCCCCCAGTCACAGCCAGAGTGCAACACAGTTGAGGAGGTCAGCTGTCAGATCAAATGGTGAAGGTCAAGGGTCAAGTAGCTCCACAACATTACGTCAGAGACCTGCTAGTGCAGGGTGTGCACGCAAGTATGTGGCAGGTTATATGTGACAGTTTGTATAGGTTAATATATAGACATTATGTATTGTTTACCTTGCACCAGTATTTGACAATGTATTGTTTACCTGGCACCAGTATTTGACAATGTATTGTTTACCTGGCACCAGTATTTGACAATGTATTGTTTACCTGGCACCAGTATTTGACAATGTATTGTTTACCTGGCACCAGTATTTGACAATGTATTGTTTACCTGGCACCAGTATTTGACAATGTATTGTTTACCTTGCACCAGTATTTGACAATGTATTGTTTACCTGGCACCAGTATTTGACAATGTATTGTTTACCTGGCACCAGTATTTGACAATGTATTGTTTACCTGGCACCAGTATTTGACAATGTATTGTTTACCTGGCACCAGTATTTGACAATGTATTGTTTACCTGGCACCAGTATTTGACAATGTATTGTTTACCTGGCACCAGTATTTGACAATGTATTGTTTACCTGGCACCAGTATTTGACAATGTATTGTTTACCTGGCACCAGTATTTGACAATGTATTGTTTACCTGGCACCAGTATTTAACAATGTATTGTTTACCTTGCACCAGGAGAACGTCTGATGTTGCCCCACCCCACAGGCCAGTCAGTGCCAAGGCAAGCCACAGTCACCTGGGGACAGAACTAGAGAGGTAAAGCACAGTTCAAACCATCAGCAACATCTACATATGGTTTCACTTTGTCATATAATCACATTCTGTGTTTGTTTACACATCTTACATGTAGAATTGGTGGTTTTAAAACTGTCATATCTTAGCATTGACAGAATATATAATTATAACATTTGTCATAGAATTACTTTCAATACTCTGCCACTAAAATATGTTGGTCAACTGTTGTACTGATGTTCTTTCAGACCTACCTCTGCCATGCCATTTTTACAAGACATTTTGTCTGCCATGCCAGTCTTACCAGACAATTTGTCTGCCAGTCAGGACAGTCAACCCAAGGACCTGGACGAGTCACCCCGGCTGCTTTGTGCTGAGCTTCACAGGTTGCCACAGGAAGAGGCGGAGGAGACCCACCCAGCAGGTTGGTTGTCTGTCCACCCAGCAGGTTGTCTGTCTGTCTGTCCACCCAGCAGGTTGTCTGTCTGTCCACCCAGCAGGTTGTCTGTCTGTCTGTCTGTCCACCCAGCAGGTTGGTTGTCTGTCTGTCCACCCAGCAGGTTGTCTGTCTGTCCACCCAGCAGGTTGTCTGTCTGTCTGTCCACCCAGCAGGTTGTCTGTCTGTCTGTCCACCCAGCAGGTTGTCTGTCTGTCTGTCCACCCAGCAGGTTGTCTGTCTGTCCACCCAGCAGGTTGTCTGTCTGTCTGTCCACCCAGCAGGTTGTCTGTCTGTCTGTCCACCCAGCAGGTTGTCTGTCTGTCTGTCCACCCAGCAGGTTGTCTGTCTGTCTGTCCACCCAGCAGGTTGTCTGTCTGTCCACCCAGCAGGTTGTCTGTCTGTCTGTCTGTCCACCCAGCAGGTTGTCTGTCTGTCTGTCTGTCTGTCTGTCCACCCAGCAGGTTGTCTGTCTGTCCACCCAGCAGGTTGTCTGTCTGTCTGTCTGTCCACCCAGCAGGTTGTCTGTCTGTCTGTCTATCTGTCCACCCAGCAGGTTGTCTGTCTGTCCACCCAGCAGGTTGGTTGTCTGTCTGTCCACCCAGCAGGTTGTCTGTCTGTCTGTCCACCCAGCAGGTTGTCTGTCTGTCCACCCAGCAGGTTGTCTGTCTGTCTGTCCACCCAGCAGGTTGTCTGTCTGTCTGTCCACCCAGCAGGTTGTCTGTCTGTCCACCCAGCAGGTTGTCTGTCTGTCTGTCTGTCCACCCAGCAGGTTGGTTGTCTGTCTGTCCACCCAGCAGGTTGTCTGTCTGTCCACCCAGCAGGTTGTCTGTCTGTCTGTCCACCCAGCAGGTTGTCTGTCTGTCCACCCAGCAGGTTGTCTGTCTGTCTGTCCACCCAGCAGGTTGTCTGTCTGTCTGTCCACCCAGCAGGTTGTCTGTCTGTCTGTCCACCCAGCAGGTTGTCTGTCTGTCTGTCCACCCAGCAGGTTGTCTGTCTGTCTGTCTGTCCACCCAGCAGGTTGTCTGTCTGTCTGTCTGTCTGTCTGTCTGTCTGTCTGTCTGTCTGTCTGTCTGTCCACCCAGCAGGTTGTCTGTCTGTCCACCCAGCAGGTTGTCTGTCTGTCTGTCTGTCCACCCAGCAGGTTGTCTGTCTGTCTGTCTGTCTGTCCACCCAGCAGGTTGTCTGTCTGTCCACCCAGCAGGTTGGTTGTCTGTCTGTCCACCCAGCAGGTTGTCTGTCTGTCTGTCCACCCAGCAGGTTGTCTGTCTGTCTGTCCACCCAGCAGGTTGTCTGTCTGTCCACCCAGCAGGTTGTCTTTCTGTCTGTCTGTCCACCCAGCAGGTTGGTTGTCTGTCTGTCCACCCAGCAGGTTGTCTGTCTGTCCACCCAGCAGGTTGTCTGTCTGTCTGTCTGTCCACCCAGCAGGTTGTCTGTCTGTCTGTCCACCCAGCAGGTTGTCTGTCTGTCTGTCCACCCAGCAGGTTGTCTGTCTGTCCACCCAGCAGGTTGTCTGTCTGTCTGTCCACCCAGCAGGTTGTCTGTCTGTCTGTCCACCCAGCAGGTTGTCTGTCTGTCTGTCCACCCAGCAGGTTGTCTGTCTGTCTGTCCACCCAGCAGGTTGTCTGTCTGTCCACCCAGCAGGTTGTCTGTCTGTCTGTCTGTCCACCCAGCAGGTTGTCTGTCTGTCTGTCTGTCTGTCTGTCTGTCTGTCTGTCTGTCTGTCTGTCTGTCTGTCCACCCAGCAGGTTGTCTGTCTGTCCACCCAGCAGGTTGTCTGTCTGTCTGTCTGTCCACCCAGCAGGTTGTCTGTCTGTCTGTCTGTCCACCCAGCAGGTTGTCTGTCTGTCCACCCAGCAGGTTGGTTGTCTGTCTGTCCACCCAGCAGGTTGTCTGTCTGTCTGTCCACCCAGCAGGTTGTCTGTCTGTCCACCCAGCAGGTTGTCTGTCTGTCTGTCCACCCAGCAGGTTGTCTGTTTGTCTGTCCACCCAGCAGGTTGTCTGTCTGTCCACCCAGCAGGTTGGTTGTCTGTCTGTCCACCCAACAGGTTGTCTGTCTGTCCACCCAGCAGGTTGTCTGTCTGTCTGTCCACCTAGCAGGTTGTCTGTCTGTCTGTCCACCCAGCAGGTTGTCGGTCTGTCTGTCCACCCAGCAGGTTGTTAGAAATGTTTTGTAAATTTTGAGTCAAACATTTGTGTATGTACTGAGCTTTGGTTTCCTCTGATTTGGTTTATCATCTACACAACAGTTTCATTATTTCATCTCTTTGTCTAAGGAAAATATTGTGTCACAAGAGAGACAAAATAGTTCACCTAAACCGTTGCATTAAAAAAAGACACACAAAAATGAAAAATAAGTAAATAGTGATGGGACTAGGAGCAGTGTTAGGATTAGGCGTAGGGTTAATATTATAGATGGCATTTTTATTCCGGTTCAGATAAGTTTAGTTACCGGTTCAGGTTAAAGTTCTGGTTCAAGTGGCAGATCAGATTCTGGTTAAAGTTGTGGCCAAGTTTATTGTTTTCAAGGTTAAGGTTATTGTTATGGTTATTGTTTAGGCTTAGAGAAACAAGTTAATAAAAAGTCTAGTGACAATTTAAGCGCAATTTCCTTAATTAATTTTTTGTGACCGAACGAAAGGATATTTTTGAAAACTTTCTTCGGCAATATTGTTCTAAATTATGGCAGGAATCAATTGGTAAATGTTTCAAGTCGCCAAGTGGTCTGGTTGCCGAGATATGGGCCAAAAACTGCATTTTTTCGAGGTTTTTTGGCTTTTCCGAGAAATCCAGGAAGGAATTCCAGGAATTTTTTTGGCCCTCAATCATCCTCGGAACTTGCTTAACATATTTGCTTTTGGAACTAGTCCTCGATATTGCTTCGTTGAGGAGTAGATACGACTTAAAGCTGCGTACACACATCCATCCAGAAATGACGAGTTAATAATCGCAATTGTCCCTATGGAAATTGCGCTAAAAACTTACATCAACCTAGTACCCATTTTATTTTTCCCTCCACCAACCCACTATCTAGTATAGCTAGATATATAAACATTGCTAAATTATTAGAAGAGTATTTTAAGTTGTATTGGTATGCTTAAAAATTAAAAAATGAAGCAACAATTAAAGCCATCAATGTTTTTTGTCAACAGATAAACTACATGCTGTGGCCAGGAATGCATACATCAAGCTACAAGAGATGGTTGGTTTTATGCTTGTAATCATTATCTCAGGCTAACATCAATCCTAGGCTAACATTTCATACAATTTAACCAATTTTTTTTCTTCAGATTTACAAATATGTTGTTAGATTTAAATTAAAACAAAATTAATACTTGCAAAATAATTTAAAATTGTACACAAAAATTGTACAAATCCCAGAAATAGGTTGTTTTAATATTCTGTAAAAAAATTCTGAACTGATTCAGATATTTAAATTGAAGTTAGATTGTTCTCCCCTAGAACCCAGAAATGAGACATTAAAATTTAGATTGATCTCCCCTAGACCCCCATGGTTGTGACATTGATCTCCCCTAGACCCCCATGGTTGTGACATTAGATTGATCTCCCCTAGACCCCCATGCTTGTGACATTGATCTCCCCTAAACCCCCATGGTTGTGACATTGATCTCCCCTAGACCCCCATGGTTGTGAGATTGATCTCCCCTAGACCCCCATGGTTGTGACATTGATCTCCCCTAGACCCCCATGGTTGTGACATTGATCTCCCCTAGACCCCCATGGTTGTGACATTGATCTCCCCTAGACCCCCATGGTTGTGAGATTGATCTCCCCTAGACCCCCATGGTTGTGACATTAGATTGATCTCCCCTAGACCCCCATGGTTGTGACATTGATCTCCCCTAGACCCCCATGGTTGTGAGATTGATCTCCCCTAGACCCCCATGGTTGTGACATTGATCTCCCCTAGACCCCCATGGTTGTGACATTAGATTGATCTCCCCTAGACCCCCATGGTTGTGACATTGATCTCCCCTAGACCCCCATGGTTGTGACATTGATCTCCCCTAGACCCCCATGGTTGTGAGATTGATCTCCCCTAGACCCCCATGGTTGTGACATTGATCTCCCCTAGACCCCCATGGTTGTGACATTGATCTCCCCTAGACCCCCATGGTTGTGACATTGATCTCCCCTAGACCCCCATGGTTGTGACATTGATCTCCCCTAGACCCCCATGGTTGTGACATTAGATTGATCTCCCCTAGACCCCCATGCTTGTGACATTGATCTCCCCTAGACCCCCATGGTTGTGACATTGATCTCCCCTAGACCCCCATGGTTGTGACATTAGATTGATCTCCCCTAGACCCCCATGGTTGTGACATTAGATTGATCTCCCCTAGACCCCCATGGTTGTGACATTGATCTCCCCTAGACCCCCATGCTTGTGACATTGATCTCCCCTAGACCCCCATGGTTGTGACATTGATCTCCCCTAGACCCCCATGGTTGTGACATTAGATTGATCTCCCCTAGACCCCCATGGTTGTGAGATTGATCTCCCCTAGACCCCCATGGTTGTGAGATTGATCTCCCCTAGACCCCCATGGTTGTGACATTGATCTCCCCTAGACCCCCATGGTTGTGACATTGATCTCCCCTAGACCCCCATGGTTGTGAGATTGATCTCCCCTAGACCCCCATGGTTGTGACATTGATCTCCCCATGACCCCCATGGTTGTGACATTAGATTGATCTCCCCTAGACCCCTATGGTTGTGAGATTGATCTCCCCTAGACCCCCATGGTTGTGACATTGATCTCCCCTAGACCCCCATGGTTGTGACATTAGATTGATCTCCCCTGACCCCCATGGTTGTGACATTGATCTCTCCTAGACCCCCATGGTTGTGACATTAGATTGATCTCCCCTGACCCCCATGGTTGTGACATTGATCTCCCCTAGACCCCCATGGTTGTGAGATTGATCTCCCCTAGACCCCCATGGTTGTGACATTGATCTCCCCTAGACCCCCATGGTTGTGACATTGATCTCCCCTAGACCCCCATGGTTGTGACATTAGATTGATCTCCCCTAGACCCCCATGCTTGTGACATTGATCTCCCCTAGACCCCCATGGTTGTGACATTGATCTCCCCTGACCCCCATGGTTGTGACATTAGATTGATCTCCCCTAGACCCCCATGGTTGTGACATTAGATTGATCTCCCCTAGACCCCCATGGTTGTGACATTGATCTCCCCTAGACCCCCATGCTTGTGACATTGATCTCCCCTAGACCCCCATGGTTGTGACATTGATCTCCCCTAGACCCCCATGGTTGTGACATTGATCTCCCCTGACCCCCATGGTTGTGACATTAGATTGATCTCCCCTAGACCCCCATGATAGTGACATTAGATTGATCTCCCCTAGACCCCCATGGTTGTGACATTGATCTCCCCTAGACCCCCATGATAGTGACATTAGATTGATCTCCCCTAAACCCCCATGCTTGTGACATTGATCTCCCCTAGACCCCCATGGTTGTGACATTGATCTCCCCTAGACCCCCATGGTTGTGACATTGATCTCCCCTAGACCCCCATGGTTGTGACATTAATCTCCCCTAGACCCCCATGGTTGTGACATTGATCTCCCCTAGACCCCCATGGTTGTGAGATTGATCTCCCCTAGACCCCCATGGTTGTGACATTGATCTCCCCTAGACCCCCATGGTTGTGACATTGATCTCCCCTAGACCCCCATGGTTGTGACATTGATCTCCCCTAGACCCCCATGGTTGTGACATTAGATTGATCTCCCCTAGACCCCCATGGTTGTGACATTGATCTCCCCTAGACCCCCATGGTTGTGACATTGATCTCCCCTAGACCCCCATGATAGTGACATTAGATTGATCTCCCCTAGACCCCCATGGTTGTGACATTGATCTCCCCTAGACCCCCATGATAGTGACATTAGATTGATCTCCCCTAGACCCCCATGCTTGTGACATTGATCTCCCCTAGACCCCCATGGTTGTGACATTGATCTCCCCTAGACCCCCATGGTTGTGACATTGATCTCCCCTAGACCCCCATGGTTGTGACATTAATCTCCCCTAGACCCCCATGGTTGTGACATTGATCTCCCCTAGACCCCCATGGTTGTGAGATTGATCTCCCCTAGACCCCCATGGTTGTGACATTGATCTCCCCTAGACCCCCATGGTTGTGACATTGATCTCCCCTAGACCCCCATGGTTGTGACATTGATCTCCCCTAGACCCCCATGGTTGTGACATTAGATTGATCTCCCCTAGACCCCCATGGTTGTGACATTGATCTCCCCTAGACCCCCATGGTTGTGACATTGATCTCCCCTAGACCCCCATGGTTGTGACATTGATCTCCCCTGACCCCCATGGTTGTGACATTAGATTGATCTCCCCTAGACCCCCATGGTTGTGACATTAGATTGATCTCCCCTAGACCCCCATGGTTGTAACATTGTTCTCCCCTAGACCCCTATGGTTGTGACATTGATCTCCCCTAGACCCCCATGGTTGTGACATTAGATTGATCTCCCCTAGACCCCCATGGTTGTGACATTGATCTCCCCTAGACCCCCATGGTTGTGACATTGATCTCCCCTAGACCCCCATGGTTGTGACATTAGATTGATCTCCCCTAGACCCCCATTGTTGTGACATTAGATTGATCTCCCCTAGACCCCCATTGTTGTGACATTAGATTGATCTCCCCTAGACCCCCATGGTTGTGACATTGATCTCCCCTAGACCCCCATGGTTGTGACATTAGATTGATCTCCCCTAGACCCCCATGGTTGTGACATTAGATTGATCTCCCCTAGACCCCCATGGTTGTGAGATTGATCTCCCCTAGACCCCCATGGTTGTGAGATTGATCTCCCCTAGACCCCCATGGTTGTGACATTGATCTCCCCTAGACCCCCATGGTTGTGACATTAGATTGATCTCCCCTAGACCCCCATGGTTGTGACATTGATCTCCCCTAGACCCCCATGGTTGTGACATTAGATTGATCTCCCCTAGACCCCCATGGTTGTGACATTAGATTGATCTCCCCTAGACCCCCATGGTTGTGAGATTGATCTCCCCTAGACCCCCATGGTTGTGACATTGATCTCCCCTAGACCCCCATGGTTGTGACATTAGATTGATCTCCCCTAGACCCCCATGGTTGTGACATTAGATTGATCTCCCCTAGACCCCCATGGTTGTGAGATTGATCTCCCCTAGACCCCCATGGTTGTGAGATTGATCTCCCCTAGACCCCCATGGTTGTGACATTGATCTCCCCTAGACCCCCATGGTTGTGACATTAGATTGATCTCCCCTAGACCCCCATGGTTGTGACATTGATCTCCCCTAGACCCCCATGGTTGTGACATTAGATTGATCTCCCCTAGACCCCCATGGTTGTGACATTAGATTGATCTCCCCTAGACCCCCATGGTTGTGAGATTGATCTCCCCTAGACCCCCATGGTTGTGAGATTGATCTCCCCTAGACCCCCATGGTTGTGACATTGATCTCCCCTAGACCCCCATGGTTGTGACATTAGATTGATCTCCCCTGACCCCCATGGTTGTGACATTAGATTGATCTCCCCTAGACCCCCATGGTTGTGACATTGATCTCCCCTAGACCCCCATGGTTGTGACATTAGATTGATCTCCCCTGACCCCCATGGTTGTGACATTGATCTCCCCTAGACCCCCATGGTTGTGACATTGATCTCCCCTAGACCCCCATGGTTGTGACATTGATCTCCCCTGACCCCCATGGTTGTGAGATTGATCTCCCCTAGACCCCCATGGTTGTGACATTAGATTGATCTGCCCTAGACCCCCATGGTTGTGACATTAGATTGATCTCCCCTAGACCCCCATGGTTGTGACATTGTTCTCCCCTGACCCCCATGGTTGTGACATTGATCTGCCCTAGACCCCCATGGTTGTGACATTAGATTGATCTCCCCTAGACCCCCATGGTTTTGACATTGTTCTCCCCTAGACCCCCATGGTTGTGACATTGATCTGCCCTAGACCCCCATGGTTGTGACATTAGATTGATCTCCCCTAGACCCCCATGGTTGTGACATTGATCTCCCCTGACCCCCATGGTTGTGACATTAGATTGATCTCCCCTAGACCCCCATGGTTGTGACATTGATCTCCCCTAGACCCCCATGGTTGTGACATTGATCTCCCCTAGACCCCCAGGATCGCTGAAGGCAAAGTTTCCAGATGGCAGTGCCTGCCTGATGAAATCTGGCTGTACATCTTCCAGTTTCTCTCCCAGGGAGATCTGGGTCACCTGATGCTGACTTGCCAGGACTTCTACAGGCTGGCTAATGACCAGACGCTATGTAGGTCACCCACTTCTGTTTGTCTGTTTGTACACACAACTTTTGTGTTAGATGAATAAACCACTAATACATACAGAAAGAAATATGTTTATAGATACATGTGTATTATTTCTTGTAAGAAAACAATTCATTTTCTTTCTAAAGTAAATTCCTATATTTCAATTTAAATCCACTGAATTGGAACCCATACCTCTCACTTTGTACCCACCCCTCACACATTATACCCACAATTTTGAACTAAATTGTTAAACCACAATGTTAAACCACAATGTTGAACCACAATGTTAAACCACAATGTTGAACTACAATGTTAAACCACAATGTGAAACCTCAATGAAAAACCATGTGTTGAGTCAGTGTTGAGCACTAAGACAGCTGTGTGTTTGCAGGGAGATACATCACAGTCAAGCCAAGATGTGCACTGACTGACCTGACACTGACCACCATAGCTCACCACCGGCCAGTCTCCGTTGCTATGGTCAAGTGTCAGGGACAGGATGTGACCCAAAATGGTCTGCACGAGTTTTTTAAACTAACGCAGGGGAGGCTGAGGGTAGGTGACCTTTGACCTGTTATCTAAGGAATCAGCTGACTCTAACTTATACAACACGTGTGCTGTGGAGTTATCCTTCTTATTTTAAATTTCACAATACAAACATCAGTGCATTTAATGGCAGACACAATATGAAATCAAGCAATCCTTTGTTCAATAATCTTTTCTGAACCCATTAGACAGTTCATGTTTGAACCCACTAGAGAGTTCATGTTTGAACCCATTAGAGAGTTCATGTTTGAACCCACTAGAGAGTTCATGTTTGAACCCACTAGAGAGTTCATGTTTGAACCCATTAGAGAGTTCATGTTTGAACCCATTAGAGAGTTCATGTTTGAACCCATTAGAGTTCATGTTTGAACCCATTAGACAGTTCATGTTTGAACCCATTAGAGAGTTCATGTTTGAACCCATTAGAGAGTTCATGTTTGAACCCATTAGAGAGTTCATGTTTGAACCCACTAGAGCACGGGTTCCCAACCTGGGGGTCGCGACCCCCCTGGGGGGTCGCGAAGGTCTTTCTGGGGGGTCGCCAACTGGTATACTAAACCTTAGTAATTTAAAACAAAACATAAATATTTAGAAGAATTTTTGAAATTCGGCTTCATTAACATCACTGGAAATGTAATAGAGAAGAAACAAAGCTCACTGTACGAAGTTGTTCTCAGTCACGAATCTATGAAATCTTCAAAACTAAAACGCCATTTGAGACGAGTCATTCGGAACACACCAAAAAATATATGGAGTTCTTTCGTCGGTAAGAAGCTAGTTGCAAACGCCAGAAACTTGATCGAACAGGAAGTTTTCACCAGCATTAGTGCAAGCATCAAATGAAGTCGCGATAGACAATGCCAAGCAAAAAAAAAATAATAGCAGAAAATCTCATCAAACGCTGCATGTACGTAAATGTTAAATAACACATTTTTTTATCGAAATTAAGCTTTCACCATTGTTTGCTTTTCAAGTTGATAAATCAACAGACGTGCGTTCGTGTTCGCAGTTGCTGGGCTGTGTCTATATTCATGCGGATTATAGCAAAGAAGAGTTGCTGTTTTGTGAAGATAGCATGGAGAAAATAAATATCTTTTTTTTAAACTTGGATGATTAAAATGGGTTAGAACGGCTGTGGGGGTTTGTACGGATGGTGCGCCATCTATGTTTAGCTCAAAATCGGGCTTTCAGAAAACAGAAAAGATTTAGCTCCCTAACCACTGCCCTAACCAATCGACATCAAGAGTCCATTGCTAGTATAAGTCGTAAATTATATAAAATCTAGAGCCTCCAAAGAACTGAGCAAAAACATTAATATAGATCTCGAGGTTCTGCTCTTCTACACTACAGTACGCTGGCTATCAAACTAAATGTTGTAAATTGTGTTTTTTAATTGAAATCTGAAATCACATCGTTCTTGGAAGTGCAAAGGAAACAAGACTTTTTGGTATACTTAAAACGACATAGAGTGGTTGGAGAGAGTATCATACATAGCAGATGTGTTCGAACATCAAGATAAGCATAACCTGAAGCTTCAGGGAAAAAGAACGAATATTATCACTTTCCATGATAATCTCGGGGCATTTTTATCAAAGCTGCAAAATCGGTAAAGAAAATACATCTTGGAAATATTGTAAATTTGAGAAACTCTGCGGTGTGGTAGATGAATCTGATTGTGAGATAATAAAAATTTTGAAAGAAGCGATTTCTGGGCATCTTGAATCTCTTGAAAACGAACTGCATCGCTATTTCTCTGAGCTGAAAGAAGAAGAATCTGCATTGACACATTACCCATTCTCTGCTTCCTTTGATGTTGCCAGCATTCCCGATGAATTACAAGATTAATTCTTTGATTTGCAGAATGATTCCGAGTAAGATGAAAAACTGCAGACCTAGTTTTGGTGTAGTATTCACCATTCATACCCAAACGTAAAATTGATTGACTTTTCGAGAATATATTTTTAACACTATTCTTCGATTAAAAACAAAATTAAGATAATTATAATGACATAGGTTGGCGTTAACAAAAAAATTTAAAAATTAAAAACTTAATCACGAAGGTTTAGTGAATAGTATGCAATTTTACTCATGCTATTAAAATAGTTATCAAGAGTAGTTCATATTGAAAGTCTACTAGAAAATCTTATTTTGGTGCTTATTAATTTCCACACTAATTTCGGCTTTTTAATTCTATGGGGGTCGCGGGTCACTTAATTTTTATAAAAGGGGGTCGACACTCGAAAAAGGTTGGGAACCACTGCACTAGAGAGTTCATGTTTGAACCCATTAGAGAGTTCATGTTTGAACCCATTAGAGAGTTCATGTTTGAACCCGCTAGAGAGTTCATGTTTGAACCCACTAGAGAGTTCATGTTTGAACCCATTAGAGAGTTCATGTTTGAACCCACTAGACAGTTCATGTTTGAACCCATTAGACAGTTCATGTTTGAACCCATTAGAGAGTTCATGTTTGAACCCATTAGAGAGTTCATGTTTGAACCCATTAGAGAGTTCATGTTTGAACCCATTAGAGAGTTCATGTTTGAACCCATTAGAGAGTTCATGTTTGAACCCATTAGAGTTCATGTTTGAACCCATTAGACAGTTCATGTTTGAACCCATTAGACAGTTCATGTTTGAACCCATTAGACAGTTTATGTTTGAACCCATTAGAGAGTTCATGTTTGAACCCATTAGAGAGTTCATGTTTGAACCCATTAGAGAGTTCATGTTTGAACCCATTAGAGAGTTCATGTTTGAACCCATTAAAGTTCATGTTTGAACCCATTAGAGAGTTCATGTTTGAACCCATTAGACAGTTCATGTTTGAACCCACTCTGTTTTGTCAGGAGCTGAACATCTGTGGCTGCAGTCAGGGGTCACTAGTGGGGTCAGTCATCTTACAGATAGCCTGTCAGTACTGCCATCATCTGACACATCTGGACGCCAGTTACTGTCATCTGAGTAACGAAGCCTTTGTGGCCATTTCAGAGTGTGCTGAGAGGTAGGTACATCATGTGATCTCATAACCCTAGGGTCCGTGTGGCTGTGTTCATGGAGTGTAGTTTAAACATCTTTTGTCTACCTCCACAGGCTAGAGAGTGTCTGTGTAAACATCTTTTGTCTATCTCCACAGGCTAGAGAGTGTCTGTGTAAACATCTTTTGTCTACCTCCACAGGCTAGAGAGTGTCTGTGTAAACATCTTTTGTCTACCTCCACAGGCTAGAGAGTGTCTGTGTAAACATCTTTTGTCTACCTCCACAGGCTAGAGAGTGTCTGTGTAAACATCTTTTGTCTACCTCCACAGGCTAGAGAGTGTCTGTGTAAACATCTTTTGTCTACCTCTACAGGCTAGAGAGTGTCTGTGTAAACATCTTTTGTCTACCTCCACAGGCTAGAGAGTGTCTGTGTAAACATCTTTTGTCTACCTCCACAGGCTAGAGAGTGTCTGTGTAAACATCTTTTGTCTACCTCCACAGGCTAGAGAGTGTCTGTGTAAACATCTTTTGTCTACCTCCACAGGCTAGAGAGTGTCTGTGTAAACATCTTTTGTCTACTTCCACAGGCTAGAGAGTGTCTGTGTAAACATCTTTTGTCTACCTCCACAGGCTAGAGAGTGTCTGTGTAAACATCTTTTGTCTACCTCCACAGGCTAGAGAGTGTCTGTGTAAACATCTTTTGTCTACCTCCACAGGCTAGAGAGTGTCTGTGTAAATGGCTTTTTGTCTACCTCCACAGGCTAGAGAGTGTCTGTGTAAACATCTTTTGTCTACCTCCACAGGCTAGAGAGTGTCTGTGTAAACATCTTTTGTCTACCTCCACAGGCTAGAGAGTGTCTGTGTAAACATCTTTTGTCTACCTCCACAGGCTAGAGAGTGTCTGTGTAAACATCTTTTGTCTACCTCCACAGGCTAGAGAGTGTCTGTGTAAACATCTTTTGTCTACCTCCACAGGCTAGAGAGTGTCTGTGTAAACATCTTTTGTCTACCTCCACAGGCTAGAGAGTGTCTGTGTAAACATCTTTTGTCTACCTCCACAGGCTAGAGAGTGTCTGTGTAAACATCTTTTGTCTACCTCCACAGGCTAGAGAGTGTCTGTGTAAACATCTTTTGTCTACCTCCACAGGCTAGAGAGTGTCTGTGTAAATGGCTTTTTGTCTACCTCCACAGGCTAGAGAGTGTCTGTGTAAACATCTTTTGTCTACCTCCACAGGCTAGAAAGTGTCTGTGTAAACATCTTTTGTCTACCTCCACAGGCTAGAAAGTGTCTGTGTAAACATCTTTTGTCTACCTCCACAGGCTAGAGAGTGTCTGTGTAAACATCTTTTGTCTACCTCCACAGGCTAGAGAGTGTCTGTGTAAACATCTTTTGTCTACCTCCACAGGCTAGAGAGTGTCTGTGTAAACATCTTTTGTCTACCTCCACAGGCTAGAAAGTGTCTGTGTAAACATCTTTTGTCTACCTCCACAGGCTAGAGAGTGTCTGTGTAAATGGCTTCCAGTCAATGAGTGACACCTCCCTCCTGGCTCTCTTGAGGAAACATGGCAGAAGGTAAACAGTGTTTCTTCCAGACTAAAATTTTGGGGGAATTTTTTAAAATTGTAGCAGACAGCTTGTTGTTTGGAAACATGGGAGGTTAAGATTTAAAACCTTGTAAGATATGTGCCAAGGTAAAAATTCCTAGAACATTCCCAGCCTTATTCCATCCTAGAACATTCTTGAATTTATTGATTGACTTTGGTAATATTTTATTTACCCTCTAGTCTGCGCACCCTGGAGCTCTATGCGTGTTTCTCCCTTAATGCTTCTGTGTTTCGGAGTTTAGGAGAATATTGCACAAACCTGCGTCGTTTGTGTTTGGGAAGCTGCAATAAGGTTTGATACCTTGTTTTATTCACTTGATTCATGTACTTATCAGTCAAAATGTTTGATTCATGTATTGCACGAGTCAAAAAGTTGTAGGATGTAGTACAGGGTATGTATGACTGACTGTGATTGTATGATGTAGTACAGCATATGACTGACTGTGATTGTAGGATGTTGTACAGGGTATGTATGACTGACAGTGATTGTAGGATGTAGTACAGGGTATGTATGACTGACTGTGATTGTATGATGTAGTACAGGGTATGACTGACTGTGATTGTAGGATGTAGTACAGGGTATGTATGACTGACTGTGATTGTATGATGTAGTACAGGGTATGACTGACTGTGATTGTAGGATGTAGTACAGGGTATGTATGACTGACTGTGATTGTATGATGTAGTACAGGGTATGTATGGCTGACAGTGATTGTAGGATGTAGTACAGGGTATGTATGACTGGGATTGTATGATGTAGTACAGGGTATGTATGACTGTGATTGTATGATGTAGTACAGGGTATGTATGACTGTGATTGTAGGATGTTGCACAGCCTATGACTGACAGTGATTGTATATCTGCAGCTGACAGACTCTGTGATGATCACCTTGTCAGCACATCTGGCCAGGATTGAGGAACTTGATCTCAGAGGCTGTAAAAATGTCAGCTCCTGCCGGGGTTTTCTCTTTTTTTTTAAATCTTTTTTTCATCTTTAAACAATTACATTTCAACAAGCATTTATTTTTACTACACAAATGTGACCAAAAAAATAGAAAAAAAACCTTTCCCCTAGCCACATAATTTTAAATCTACTGAAACCAATTTGTATCTGATTTTGTATTCAGTTAAGAAATGACTGCATTAGGAAAATGGTCCACAACTGTCCTCGTATACATACATTGGTGCTGGCCAATTGTCAACAAATCACTGACGTTGCTCTGACTGAAATAGCCACGTACTTGAAGACTACACTCAGGTAACATACATATGCTGACGTGTCACTGACTAAACCATTGTTGCTATAAGGGGGGAACATGTTCCTCTCTCGTACACCAGTACAGTTGTTGCTATATGAGGGAACATGTTCCTCTCTCATACACCAGTACAGTTGTTGCTATATGGGGGAACATGTTCCTCTCTCATACACCAGTACAATTGTTGCTATATAAGGGAACATGTTCCTCTCATACACCAGTACATTTGTTGCTATATGGGGGAACATGTTCCTCTCATACACCAGTACAGTTGTTTCTATATAAGGGAACATGTTCCTCTCATACACCAGTACATTTGTTGCTATATGGGGGAACATGTTCCTCTCATACACCAGTACAGTTGTTGCTTTATGGGGGAACATGTTCCTCTCTCATACACCAGTAGTTGTTGCTATATGGGGGAACATGTTCCTCTCTCATACACCAGTACAGTTGTTGCTATATGGGGGAACATGTTCCTCTCTCATACACCAGTACAGTTGTTGCTATATGAAGGAACATGTTCCTCTCTCATACACCAGTACAATTGTTGCTATATGGGGGAACATGTTCCTCTCTCATACACCAGTACAATTGTTGCTATATGGGGGAACATGTTCCTCTCTCATACACCAGTACAGTTGTTGCTATATGAGGGAACATGTTCCTCTCTCATACACCAGTACAGTTGTTGCTATATGGGGAACATGTTCCTCTCTCATACACCAGTACAGTTGTTGCTATATGGGGGAACATGTTCCTCTCTCATACACCAGTACAGTTGTTGCTATCTGAAGGAACATGTTCCTCTCTCATACACCAGTACAGTTGTTGCTATATGGGGAACATGTTCCTCTCTCATACACCAGTACAGTTGTTGCTATATGAAGGAACATGTTCCTCTCATACACCAGTACAGTTGTTGCTATATGGGGAACATGTTCCTCTCTCATACACCAGTACAGTTGTTGCTATATGGGGGAACATGTTCCTCTCTCATACACCAGTACAGTTGTTGCTATATGGGGGAACTTGTTCCTCTCTCATACATCAGTACAATTGTTGCTATATGGGGGAACATGTTCCTCTCTCATACACCAGTACAGTTGTTGCTATATGGGGGAACATGTTCCTCTCTCATACACTAGTACAGTTGTTGCTATATGAAGGAACATGTTCCTCTCATACACCAGTACAGTTGTTGCTATATGGGGGAACATGTTCCTCTCTCATACACCAGTACAGTTGTTGCTATATGAAGGAACATGTTCCTCTCATACACCAGTACAGTTGTTGCTATATGGGGGAACATGTTCCTCTCTCATACACCAGTAGTTGTTGCTATATAAGGGAACATGTTCCTCTCTCATACACCAGTACAGTTGTTGCTATATAAGGGAACATGTTCCTCTCTCATACACCAGTACAGTTGTTGCTATATTGGGGAACATGTTCCTCTCTCATACACCTGTACAGTTGTTGCTATATGGGGGAACATGTTCCTCTCTCATACACCAGTAGTTGTTGCTATATAAGGGAACATGTTCCTCTCTCATACACCAGTACAGTTGTTGCTATATGGGGGAACATGTTCCTCTCTCATACACCAGTACAGTTGTTGCTATATGGGGGAACATGTTCCTCTCTCATACACCAGTACAATTGTTGCTATATGGGGGAACTTGTTCCTCTCATACACCAGTACAGTTGTTGCTATATGGGGGAACATGTTCCTCTCTCATACACCAGTACAGTTGTTGCTATATGGGGGAACATGTTCCTCTCTCATACACCAGTAGTTGTTGCTATATAAGGGAACATGTTCCTCTCTCATACACCAGTACAGTTGTTGCTATATGGGGAACATGTTCCTCTCTCATACACCAGTAGTTGTTGCTATATGAGGGAACATGTTCCTCTCTCATACACCAGTAGTTGTTGCTATATGGGGAACATGTTCCTCTCTCATACACCAGTACAGTTGTTGCTATATGGGGGAACATGTTCCTCTCTCATACACCAGTACAGTTGTTGCTATATGGGGGAACTTGTTCCTCTCATACACCAGTACAGTTGTTGCTATATGGGGGAACATGTTCCTCTCATACACCAGTACAGTTGTTGCTATATGGGGGAACATGTTCCTCTCTCATACACCAGTAGTTGTTGCTATATGGGGAACATGTTCCTCTCTCATACACCAGTACAGTTGTTGCTATATGGGGGAACATGTTCCTCTCTCATACACCAGTACAGTTGTTGCTATATGGGGGAACATGTTCCTCTCTCATACACCAGTACAGTTGTTGCTATATGGGGGAACATGTTCCTCTCATACACCAGTACAGTTGTTGCTATATGGGGGAACATGTTCCTCTCTCATACACCAGTACAGTTGTTGCTATATGGGGGAACATGTTCCTCTCATACACCAGTACAGTTGTTGCTATATGAGGGAACATGTTCCTCTCTCATACACCAGTACAGTTGTTGCTATATAAGGGAACATGTTCCTCTCATACACCAATACAGTTGTTGTTATATGGGGGAACATGTTCCTCTCTCATACACCAGTACAGTTGTTGCTATATGGGGGAACATGTTCCTCTCTCATACACCAGTACAGTTGTTGCTATATGAGGGAACATGTTCCTCTCTCATACACCAGTACAGTTGTTGCTATATGGGGGAACATGTTCCTCTCATACACCAGTACAGTTGTTGCTATAAGGGGGAACATGTTCCTCTCTCATACACCAGTAGTTGTTGCTATATGGGGAACATGTTCCTCTCTCATACACCAGTACAATTGTTGCTATATGGGGGAACTTGTTCCTCTCATACACCAGTACAGTTGTTGCTATATGGGGGAACATGTTCCTCTCTCATACACCAGTACAATTGTTGCTATATGGGGGAACTTGTTCCTCTCTCATACACCAGTAGTTGTTGCTATATAAGGGAACATGTTCCTCTCATACACCAGTACAGTTGTTGCTATATGGGGGAACTTGTTCCTCTCATACACCAGTACAGTTGTTGCTATATTGGGGAACATGTTCCTCTCTCATACACCAGTACAGTTGTTGCTATATGGGGGAACATGTTCCTCTCTCATACACCAGTAGTTGTTGCTATATGGGGAACATGTTCCTCTCTCATACACCAGTACAGTTGTAGCTATATGGGGGAACATGTTCCTCTCTCATACATCAGTACAATTGTTGCTATATGGGGGAACATGTTCCTCTCTCGTACACCAGTACAGTTGTTGCTATATGGGGGAACATGTTCCTCTCATACACCAGTACAGTTGTTGCTATATGGGGGAACATGTTCCTCTCATACACCAGTACAGTTGTTGCTATATGGGGGAACATGTTCCTCTCTCATACACCAGTACAGTTGTTGCTATATGGGGGAACATGTTCCTCTCATACACCAGTACAGTTGTTGCTATATGGGGGAACATGTTCCTCTCTCATACACCAGTACAGTTGTTGCTATATGAAGGAACATGTTCCTCTCTCATACACCAGTACAGTTGTTGCTATATGGGGGAACATGTTCCTCTCTCATACACCAGTACAGTTGTTGCTATATGGGGGAACATGTTCCTCTCTCATACACCAGTACAGTTGTTGCTATATGGGGGAACATGTTCCTCTCATACACCAGTACAGTTGTTGCTATATGCGGAACATGTTCCTCTCTCATACAACAATTTTCCTAAATTTCCCTCATACTCCTAATATTTTGCTTTCACAATGAGAGAAAAAAAAACATGTAACTTGTGACATGTTCCTCTTGAGTAGATCAGAACATTTGTTCTTGCAAATTTCCTCCACTTGTCACAACCCAATTTTTCAAACCTTTAAACTTTGACAAACTTGTCATAAACTAGTGGTCACCATCTCTTGACCCCAGGGTACTAGATGTGTGTGGATGTAATGGAGTCAGTGACCAGGGCGTGGTCAGTCTAGCCAAGAATTGTGACCGCTTGACCAGTCTGGACATCAGCTCAACAAGATGTACCAATGTCAGGTAACCTGTCAGATCATCTTGGCACATCATCAGGCCATTGTCACTTGTATCAGACCATTGTCACTTGTATCAGACCATTGTGATCTAGCCTTCAGACAAGTGTAGCCTTGTGCCCCCCCCCCCCCCCCCCCAACCTCTGTGTTCCAGTGTAAGTCAGCTGGCCGCCAACAGCTGTAGCAGATGGCTGGAGACCCTCAAGCTAAGCTTCATGTCCGGCCTGTCAGAGACTTGTCTGGTCAATCTCATTGGTCAGTGCCCAAGGTATGGTACTCTCTTCTTTGTTGCTTTTTTTTTAGCTCTCCAAGTCTAGTATAGCAGGTGTGCTATAATTTGAGAATAATTGAACACAATGCTTGCTTAAATTGAAAATAATTGAACACAATGCTTGCTTAAATTGAAAATAATTGAACACAATGCTTGCTTAAATTGAAAATAATTTAACACAATGCTTGCTTAAATTGAAAATAATTTAACACAATGCTTGCTTAAATTGAAAATAATTTAACACAATGCTTGCTTAAATTGAAAATAATTGAACACAATGCTTGCTTAAATTGAAAATAATTTAACACAATGCTTGCTTAAATTGAAAATAATTTAACACAATGCTTGCTTAAATTGAAAATAATTTAACACAATGCTTGCTAAATTTGAAAATAATTGAACACAATGCTTGCTTAAATTGAAAATAATTTAACACAATGCTTGCTAAATTTGAGATAATTTAAAATTGAGATGTTGGAAACAGCTCACAGCTAATTTGGAAAATGTTTTGATCTAAGAAAACATTACAATATTAGGATATTAAACACCACGACATACAAACATTCAAACCTTTTTGTACATCCTAGGTTAAAGCTGCTCCATTTATTTGGCTGTTCATCTTTAAAAAATCTGGCCAGGCTGCGTGAGCGCAACCCAAAACTATGCATAGAGGGGGACATGTCCAGAAGTTTGTTGTCCTAACTCACCTGGAGGCTACTGACTGGGTGGCTCAGTTATATTATTGTTTGGTTTGTGAATGTCCTGATGTGAAATTGTTGAATGTCCTAGTGTGAAATTGTTGACTATCCTGATGTGAAATTGTTGACTATCCTGATGTGAAATTGTTGACTATCCTGATGTGAAATTGTTGAATGCCCTGATGTGAAATGGTTGAATGTCCTGATGTGAAATTGTTGACTATCCTGATGTGAAATTGTTGAATGCCCTGATGTGAAATTGTTGAATGCCCTGATGTGAAATTGTTGAATGCCCTGATGTGAAATGGTTGAACGTCCTGATGTGAAATTATTGAATGTCCTGAGCTATTGTGTATAAAACGTCCCTCAATGATCTCAATGTATAGACAAGCCTGCTGTTGTATTTGTTGTGGTCCTAAAATCTGCATATAAAATGTGATATAACAATGAATGTGATATAGAAAGTGAGAGCCTGTAATCTAGTCACTTCTTGATCTGCCTACAACAGTGTTTGGATTGTTTATTTTTCATGTAATTATCTTGACTTTTATTCCCTGCTGTTTCAGAAAAAAATCTTTTTAAATTAGATGTATGCTTGTTAAGGTGGCACCTGTTTATACAAAATAAATTATTTTTACGGTGATTGGTAATTTTTATTTAAATTTAATCTAATATTGATATTGGTATATAACATTTGTATTAAATCTTTAGCTTTGATTGGCAACAAAAATATTTTTATAATTAGGCCTATTAGATTTGTATAATGTTTATTAAACATGAATATTTTTATAATTAGGCCTATTAGATTTGTATAATGTTTATTAAACATGAATATTTTTATAATTAGGCCTATTAGATTTGTATAATGTTTATTAAACATGTTTTTTGTTGAGCTTTTACCCTGAGCACAAATATATTGTCTGCTGAATGCTAGTTAGTTTGATACTATTTAAAGACTGAAGAGTGCTGCTTCAGAAATCAGATTTAAAGACTGAAGAGTGCTGCTTCAGATATCAGATTTAAAGACTGAAGAGTGCTGCTTCAGATATCAGATTTAAAGACTGAAGAGTGCTGATTCAGAAATGTCTTATATTATTATATTTTATATCTCCATGTGTGCCAATAAACCACCAGCAAAGTAGATTTGAGAAAAAAAATTTATTCAACATTAAATGAGGATTATTTTTTTCTATTCATATTTTTGTTTTTGCCTGTTTAATGGGATTTTTCAAATCCAGTTTGTGTTTCTGCCGAGCCAAGTGGGATTTGGGTGTGTCAGTCACACCCCCGGCCAGGTTATAGTCTTATAGTTCATGTAAATACAATTATTGGCCTCCAATCATCAAGTCTATTTATAGTTTCAGAATTTTTTATTTTGTGTGAAAAAAAACTTTTTTAAGTTCACCCAGATCTATTGAGTACCCAACATTAATTGTAGAATTTTCGAATCCACCTTCAGCTAGGAGATCTCAAAATTTGTTGTTTTTTTCTCTTTACTGGACTAAGTGTAGAACATTGAGTTTTAAAAGTAGGACTAGACTCAACATCTGCTGACACTAATAATGATCATTGCTGTGATGATGGTTCAACAAAATTAGGATGCAAATTGTTGCCAAAGAATTTTTTTAATTTAATATCTCTTTGAAATCAGTATTTATTGATTGCTCTAACTGTAATTTTGATGTAAAGACAGGGATTAATAAATCAATTATTTTATTGAAGTGCGACCTTTGCTTTTTGTTTAATTTAGGGATTACAGTTTTATTAATAATGTGTCTCTGTTTTATTTACATATCTTCCCCCAATACCTTACACTTGACTTGACACACCTTACACTTGACACACCTTACACTTGACACACCTTACACTTGACTTGACACACCTTACACTTGACACACCTTACACTTGACATACCTTACACTTGACATACCTTACACTTGACACACCTTACACTTGACATACCTTTCACTTGACACACCTTACACTTGACACACCTTACACACACACCTACTCTTGACACATTATATGCCCTACTTAACACAATATATTTATTATATTATGATATTCCTTTTGACAAAGTAGTAGAATATTAGATCTCTAGATCCACGGGCTAGCAAAAAAAATTGTATTTTGTAAATGTTGGGAAAAATAAATAAAAAATTGTGTTTGTCAAATGAAACGCTAACGCCCTAAAACTAAAATCTTCATTGCTGTACAAACAAAGCCTTAGAAAGAATTGTCCATTTAAACTTTCAATGAGGATTTCATTTTTAAGGACTTTTTTTTTAAAGAAAAAAAAAAGAACCGTCAATACCGCGGAAACAATTTAAAAAAGTAATTGTGTTTTATTGGGGCATATATAATCAGTGGCGTAGCCAGGATCGTCTCAAGGGGGGGGGGGATTCCAATTTTTACCCGGGGACAAACTTTCGATTTTTTATATATATACCGAGGGGTCTATGGGGGGTTATGACCCCCTAACCCCCCCCCCCCCTCCCTGCCTACGCCACTGTATAGAATAGATCAAGATCTAGTTTTGTATATGATACTTATGTTATTATTATTTATGTCATTGTCAACTAGAGAATATGCATTTGCAGTCTATTCGCTAGTTTAAGTTTCACTAAACTCGCTTGTTCTTTTTGCGTTCAATTTGTTTGTTTTTTAATTAATTGAGTGAAGTTTTGAGTTTCTGGTTGCTATAATTATATAATATATGAGGAACGTAAAGTTAGGCACCGTAGGCTATTTTTAGAAGATAAACATAAAAACGGGTTTTTCCTATATATTTTGGAATTGGTTTAACCAATGCTGGTTCAGCACTAGATGACTAGATCTAGGCCTCGAGTGTTCTGTCCAAACTAGATCTACTAACTAAAGCAGTAAAAAAACTTATTTGGTTCTATTATTTCTATTTAACAAAAATATTATTTAAATTTCAGAATTCTAGATCTAGATTATTTTATTACTTAATTCTAATTGTTAGGCCCTAGGCCTATTTTATAATAATTAAAATTTTAAATTAGGCTCTAATTTTTAAATTATCGTATGATGTATGTAGTGTAGTATGTAGATCTAGCTAGACTCTAGATCTAGATCTAGTATGTACATTGTAGTAGATCTATCATGTAGGGCCTAATGTAGTAGTAGTGTGTAATATCACTAATATGTAATAATATGTATGTATGTAGGCCTAGTTAAAATCAGCCGAGACTAATAATGTGAAAAAAAAGGTGACTAGGCCCTAATTAAATTTTAGTAATTATTTCACCTAGATCTAGATCTAGATTGACTAGATCTCTAGATCTATTTAGGAGGATTTATGACTCTGTTTTGAAAGTTTTTAAAAAAATGTAGATTCTAGATCTACCTGTCTTTAAACACTTGTATTAAAACTGTTCAGTAAAAAATAAAGACTAGTGATGTTTTTATCAGATGCAACCAAACTCATTTACTTTAGCAGCCATGTTGTAGTTAAAGTTTTTTTGTTGTTTTTTTTTTGTGAAATTATAGATCTAGTTAGTTAGATATTCGGGGAAACCACTCTAACTTACAAATGGCCGTTTTTATATAGTATATAGTATATATTTTATATAGCAAATCCTGCTTGCAAACACTGCTGTGTTTATAAGTTAATTTCTGGCCTATATATATTGATACATTTAGCCATTGATTTTAGTTTATTATTCAGTTATCTATAATATTTCACACAAATATATCCCAATATTCTTCTATTAAAGCCTTAATTAACAATGAGGCAACTTTTTCGCACATTACTAGCCTCAACCGATTTTACGCACCTCAAATGATAGATTAATATATATATACCTATATATATATATATATGATTAATGCTACAGTACAGTTCTCCCCGATTGATCTGATCTTTCACCAAACATGATATAGATATTAGATACAGCACAGATACAAGCCTGCTGTTGGCTAACACAATGTCACAAGAAGCTGCCACTCCTGGAGCAGCTGAAGCCGAGCCCTATGTGAGAGTAGAGTTTAGGACTCTGGTCCGCGGACATGGGACCTACACGGTGCACACGGTGAGTCTTGTTTTGTGATAACTAGGTCAATACATTTAGTTTTTTTTATTACTTGTCATTTTGACAAAACTTATTCCTGAAAAATGTGAACTTTATAAATAGCCTACTAAAAACACATATGGAAAAACACATCAGAAATAAAATATCAGAAACAACACATTTGATGAAAAAAACACATCAGGTATTAAAATTAAAACTACCATCCAGTGTCTGGCGTGAATAAGCAAGCTGATCTCACCGTCTCCGCAGCAGTCTTCAGATCTAGATCTAGACCAGATAGGCCCTATAGACCATATATAGATCAGAACTAGACCACATATAGACCACATATAGACCATATATAGACCACATATAGACCAGAAATTGACCAGATCTAGACTAAAAATAGACCACATATAGCCCAATAAGTTGATTATCTCATCTGACTCCTCACAGGCTGACTGTGACTCATAAGTTGATTATCTCATGTGACTCCTCACAGGCTGACTGTGACACATAAGTTGATTATCTCATGTGACTCCTCACAGGCTGACTGTGACCCATAAGTTGATTATCTCATGTGACTCCTCACAGGCTGACTGTGACTCATAAGTTGATTATCTCATGTGACTCCTCACAGGCTGACTGTGACCCATAAGTTGATTATCTCATGTGACTCCTCACAGGCTGACTGTGACTCATAAGTTGATTATCTCATGTGACTCCTCACAGGCTGACTGTGACACATAAGTTGATTATCTCATGGGACTCCTCACAGGCTGACTGTGACACATAAGTTGATTATCTCATGTGACTCCTCACAGGCTGACTGTGACTCATAAGTTGATTATCTCATGTGACTCCTCACAGGCTGACTGTGACCCATAAGTTGATTATCTCATGTGACTCCTCACAGGCTGACTGTGACTCATAAGTTGATTATCTCACGTGACTCCTCACAGGCTGACTGTGACTCATAAGTTGATTATCTCATGTGACTCCTCACAGGCTGACTGTGACACATAAGTTGATTATCTCATGGGACTCCTCACAGGCTGACTGTGACTCATAAGTTGATTATCTCACGTGACTCCTCACAGGCTGACTGTGACTCATAAGTTGATTATCTCACGTGACTCCTCACAGGCTGACTGTGACACATCAGTTGATTATCTCATGTGACTCCTCACAGGCTGACTGTGACTCATAAGTTGATTATCTCACGTGACTCCTCACAGGCTGACTGTGACACATAAGTTGATTATCTCATCTGACTCCTCACAGGCTGACTGTGACACATAAGTTGATTATCTCATGTGACTCCTCACAGGCTGACTGTGACCCATAAGTTGATTATCTCATGGGACTCCTCACAGGCTGACTGTGACTCATAAGTTGATTATCTCATGTGACTCCTCACAGGCTGACTGTGACTCATAAGTTGATTATCTCACGTGACTCCTCACAGGCTGACTGTGACACATAAGTTGATTATCTCATGTGACTCCTCACAGGCTGACTGTGACACAAGCCAAGAGATCAGTGGCCTCAAGACAGACTTGGAAAATCTGGTGACTTTTTTTATATTGCATGTAATCTTATGTAAGGCTACCTTAAATATGGTGACTTTTTTTATATTGCATGTAATCTTATGTAAGGCTACCTAAAATCTGGTGACTTTTTTTATATTGCATGTAATCTTATGTAAGGCTACCTAAAATATGGTGACTTTTTTTATATTGCACGTAATCTTATGTAAGGCTACCTAAAATATGGTGACTTTTTTTATATTGCACGTAATCTTATGTAAGGCTACCTAAAATATGGTGACTTTTTTTATATTGCATGTAATCTTATTTAAGGCTACCTAAAATATGGTGACTTTTTTTATATTGCACGTAATCTTATTTAAGGCTACCTAAAATATGGTGACTTTTTTTATATTGCATGTAATCTTATGTAAGGCTACCTAAAATATGGTGACTTTTTTTATATTGCACGTAATCTTATGTAAGGCTACCTAAAATATGGTGACTTTTTTTATATTGCACGTAATCTTATGTAAGGCTACCTAAAATATGGTGACTTTTTTTATATTGCATGTAATCTTATTTAAGGCTACCTAAAATATGGTGACTTTTTTTATATTGCACGTAATCTTATGTAAGGCTACCTTAAATATGGTGACTTTTTTTATATTGCACGTAATCTTATGTAAGGCTACCTAAAATATGGTGACTTTTTTTATATTGCACGTAATCTTATTTAAGGCTACCTAAAATATGGTGACTTTTTTTATATTGCACGTAATCTTATGTAAGGCTACCTAAAATATGGTGACTTTTTTTATATTGCACGTAATCTTATGTAAGGCTACCTAAAATCTGGTGACTTTTTTTATATTGCACGTAATCTTATTTAAGGCTACCTAAAATATGGTGACTTTTTTTATATTGCACGTAATCTTATGTAAGGCTACCTAAAATATGGTGACTTTTTTTATATTGCACGTAATCTTATGTAAGGCTACCTAAAATCTGGTGACTTTTTTTATATTGCACGTAATCTTATGTAAGGCTACCTAAAATATGGTGACTTTTTTTATATTGCACGTAATCTTATGTAAGGCTACCTAAAATATGGTGACTTTTTTTATATTGCACGTAATCAAAATATGGTGA